CGGATCTCTTGGCTTACGTGTACCTAGCTTAGGACCTTTGCCTGTTGCTAGTGTCGGTACTTGTGCTTTTAGTGTAGGTGCTTGTGTAGTCACTAGCCCAGCCTTGACGACTGCTGTTGCGTCGCTCTCCTTCACGCTGGACTCCGGCGCGTCTCAGTGCTTCTTCCGCGACCACACCACTGTCACACCTCTTTCGACTCCAGTCCCAGTTGCCCTGGCTGATCCTACTTCAGGACCAGCAGTTGCTCGCAGCTCGACCACTCTCCCGTGCCCAGCTGTCCCCTCTGGTTTCCTCACTGGTCTCTACATCCCCTCGTTCTCTCGGAACTTGGTGGGTGTTGGATACCTTCAGGACCGGGGGATCACAGTCACTTTTCCTGCGCATGGGAGGACTGCGATCTGTACGGACTCTTCCACCGGGGTAGTTCTTGCCACGTTCACCAGAGAGCCCCACTCAGAACTCTTCGTCCTGCACACTCCGCCCCCGCAGGTAGCTGCGTCTGGTCAGGTTGCTTCGTCCCCCCCGGTAGTAGAGTTCGGTCAGGTTACTGCGTCCCCACCGGTTGCTGTGTCCGGTCAGGTTGCTGTGTCCGGTCAAGTTGCTGTGTCCGGTCTAGTTGCTGCGTCTTGCTCATGTTGGTCTTTCACCCACCGGACCGTCTTGTGGCACCACCGTCTTGGCCACCCATCGATCCCCCGCCTCCGCACTATGGCTAGTCACCGTCCTGTTTCAGGTCTCCCTCGCGTCTTCCCGTCGCTCCCTCCCTCGCCTGCGCCGCCGTGCACTCCTTGCGTCGCCGGCCGTCTTTGTGCCACTACGCACTCCTCCTCCCTTCGTCCGGCCACTGCTCCCTTCCAGACACTCCACTTGGATGTCTCGGGCCCTGCACCTACGCAGGGACCTGTCTCCACTCCATTCAGCAGCCTTCGGTACTTCCGCGACAGGTTACTGTGGACTCGGTTGGTGTTGGAGCTGGAGGTGCAGCCACTGGCGGTACTCGGTCTGGGGGTGCTCGTTCGAGGGGTGCTGGAGTTGGAGGTGCTGGCGCAGGTGGCGCTAGCCCTGGGGGTGCTGGAGCTGGAGGTCCTGGCACTGGAGGTGCTAGTTCTGGGGGTGCTGGAGCTGGAGGTGCTGGCACTGGAGGTGCTAGTTCTGGGGGTGCTGGAGCTGGAGGTACTGGCACGGGAGGTGCTAGTTCTGGGGGTGCTGGAGTTGGAGGTCCTGGCACTGGGGGTGCTAGGACAGGGGGCGCTGGAGCTAGGGACCCTGACCCTGTTGGTACCCCTTCTGGGGACACTGGTACTGGGGGTGCTAGTTCTGAGGAGACTGGAGCTGGGGGCACTACGTCTGCGGAGAGCACTCCGCCTCCCCACCGCCATGACACGCGTTACCAGGCGGCCTGCCGGCGTGCGCGCGAGGAGCAAGAGCGGTTGGAGCGGGAGCGGCAGGAGTTGCGGCAGTTGGACCTGCTGGAGCAGCAGCAGCGGCGGCAGCAGCAGCAGCAGCAACAGCCGCAGCAGCAGCCGCCGCAGCCACAGCAGCAGCAGCCGCCGCAGCCACAGCCGTAGCAGCTCCCTCTGGAGCGGTTGTTGTTCCCGCCCGTGAGTGGCCTTCGGGCCCTTGGTCTTCCCTCCTCTCCTCCTGTTCGCTCTCAGTCTCCCCCTGCGTTTGGTCCCACGTTTCCTCCTCCTGACGACCGTCCGGCGGTCTGGTCTTCCCCTCCACCGCAGTCTCCTCCTCCTGTTGTCCGTCACTACCGTTCCCGTCCTTGTCCTCCGGGTGCTCGTCCCTCGTCCCCCGTTACCGACCTCCACACTGCCCTCCTTTGTACTTCTCTTCGTCGTTCTCCTCCTTCGGTTTCCGTTCTCCCGTCTCCTCCTCCCTCTTCTCTTCCTGTCTCCCCTACTCCTATCTCCGACTACTACCGTGCTGTTCGCCCTGTTGTCTCCCGCGTTCTAGCCACTGTTGTCACCGACCCTCGTTTCTCTCCGTCGTCTGTCTCGGCTCTCACTGCCACTGTCGCTGACTTTGCCGCCGCCAGCCGCCTTGACTACCGCACTCGTGTGGTGCCCGCTCCGCCTACCCATCCTCTGTCCGTCGGTGGTGAGTTTGCCCTTGGCTGTGACGTCCTAGAGGACAGGCACTCAGAGCTGGAGTACCTGGCAGCCGCTTCTCCCACTCTCTGTGCCATGCTGCTTTCCCTTGAGGGAGACCCCGACGCCCTTGACATACCGACTCCTCGCACGTACCGTGAGGCAGTGTCAGGGCCGTGGGCCCCTCAGTGGAAGGCGGCCATGGACTCAGAGTTGGCGTCTTGAAGATCCACAGGCACGTACGTTGACGCAGTTCCCCCTCCCCGGGCGAACGTAGTCGATGGCATGTGGCTCTTCAAGGTGAAGCGGCCGCCTGGTTCACCCCCGGTGTTCAAGGCGCGCTATGTGGCGAGAGGCTTCAGTCAGCGCGAGGGAGTTGACTTCTTTCATACCTTCGCTCCGACCCCGAAGATGACTACACTTCGGGTATTACTACACGTAGCAGCACAGCGAGACTACGAGCTCCACTCCCTCGACTTCTCCACTGCCTTTCTCTAGGGACGACTGCACGAGGAGATCTGGCTGCGCCGTCCTCCCGGTTTCACTGGTACTTTCCCTCCTGGGACCCAGTGGAGCCTGAGGCGACCAGTCTACGGTCTCCGCCAGTCGCCCCGTGAGTGGCACGACACTCTTCGCTCCACGCTTCGTGGCCTAGGGTTTCGCCCTTCCTCTGCTGACCCGTCACTGTTTGTTCGTGCCGGCTCCACTCCTTTCTTTATACTCGTCTATGCGACGACTTGGTCTTTGCTACACCAGACAGGGCAACTCTGGCTGAGGTGAAGTCCGAACTGCAGAAGAGACACACGTGCACTGACCTTGGTGAACTGCAGCGCTACCTTGGCCTGCAGATCACCAGGGACAGAGCCGCTCGCACCATCACGTTGACGCAGTCACACATGGTGCAGAAGGTCCTTCAGCGGTTCGGGCTTCAGCACTCCACCACACAGCCCACTCCTCTTGCTGTAAACCACAGACTCACCGACCCCTTCCCCGACGAGCCCTTTGAGCCCAGTGGTCCCTACCCAGAGCTTGTTGGCTGCCTCATGTACCTGATGACCTGTACTCGCCCGGACCTCGCCTACCCTCTTAGTGTCCTCTCTCGCTTTGTTGGACCTGGGAGGCACCGTCCTGTTCACTGGACGGTTGCCGTGAGGGTGGCGAAGTACCTGGCGACTACATCAGGCATGGGGCTTGTGCTTGGAGGGACTCGACCAGTTGAGCTGACTGGCCTCTGTGACTCTTCTTACGCTGACGACGTGGAGACTCAGCGCTCGACCCAGGGTTACTGTTTCAGTCTGGGAGTTGGGGCTGTGTCGTGGAGGTCCACACGGTCGTCGTCGGTGGCTTCGTCCAGTGCAGAGGCAGAGACCTACGCCGGTGCTATGGCTGCCCAGGAGCTTCGCTGGTTGACCTTCTTGCTCGCTGACCTTGGTGAGCGACCTCGCACTGCTCCGACCTTGTTCGCTGACAACAAGGCCATGATTCTCTTGTGTCGCGAGCCTCGACTGGAGACCAGGGTGAAGCACATCGACTTCCGGTACTTCCTCCTGCGTGAGCTACAGCGACGCGGCCAGGTGCGCCTGGACTTTGTGGCCTCAGAGGCCAACACTGCTGACCTCTTCACCAAAGCCTTGACGCCTGGTGATCACCACCGGTTCTGTGTGTAGTTAGGGCTTGTTGAGGCAGGTCCTCGGTTGCTGTAGCCTTGTTGCTTGCTCTGCTTGTTGTGCTTTGCTATATATCCTAGTGAACTCTTGAACTGGCCTTGTGGCCGCTTGCTTGTGCTCGGAATTTGTGTGGTGTCTTTGAGATCCATCCTGAGCTTGCTTTGCTTCTTGCATTGACTGGACTTGTGACCGTTTGTTCACCTTGCTTGCTTTGATGCCCCTCACTTAGCCTATGGGGGTGTGTCAAATGTTGATATTTGTGATAGGCTGTAGTGAAGTGCTCCTTAGTGAGTACAACTCAGTTAGGGTTTGCTATTTGTATCACCCACATTCCTAATCTCATCATTCCGTTGCATTCTATTTCTGAGAAAACGCTTCACGTTCGGGTGGGTTTTCACCCAACCTCTACTTCTGAGATACCTTCCTTTTTCACATACCTACCAAACATCCTAAGGTTTACTTCGATAGTTGTCATATCGAGTGTATGGACAACGTCATGCCACTCTAACAGTATCATCAATAAACACCACCTTGCCTTCCCCATGAAGCCGCCCTAGAGCCTCGCGAACCTAGTATAGCAAGAGAAGGCAGGCAAAACAAGGAGAGACACTTAAAAAGGAGGCACGTAAAACCAACGACGCGCAAGAGCCACACGGGTGTCTAACCAAGTTTGATGAGCCAGACAAATGTTGCGTTGAATGGGGCGGACTGAATCAAGGTGAGCATCTTAACTCGAAGAGAGTGACAGATATGGAGGATTGCTGCGTTAGGCGCCTAATATGGGGCTTTAAGATGGGAAGCCCACCTCGAAATGTCCATTGAGGAGAACTGCTATCTGATGCACCTCCTGTAAGGCTTTAAGATGCAAAGCTCACCTCGAAGAGAGTGACAGGTATGGATGATTGCTGCCTTAGGTCCTCCCACACCTGTGAATGCGGTGCAAATGGGTAAATTTCGGTGGAAACGGGAAGAGCATGCGCACAGGAGGACACACATGGGTGGAAAGAGGTGCAGATGCATCCACAGGAGAGCAAGCGACACTAAGAGCGTGGTACACCTGCTAGGGTTTTAGCGACGATCCTACAGAACAGTGTCCTACCTACTTTTGTATAGTCATGATTTTGATGATTTCGATTGGCTATCACTGATTACAATTGTCACTGTGTAGGACACTGTTGTGTAAGATCGAATACTGTTGTGTAAGATCGCCAACTGTTTCGTAGGATCGTCGCTAAAACCCTAGCAGGTGTTCCACGCTCTAACAACACGTGCGAGTAGAGTGCAAGAGACACCCCAACAGACGTACCCATACCGCGCCAACACACCACCACCGTTACCTGAGGCCTCTCCCTGGGCGTACCTGAGTGTGTTTTGAGCCGACTCAACACACAGCAGGAGGACACAGATGGGTGCAAGTTGGTGCAGATGCATCCACACGGGGGGCAAGCGACACTAACAACACGTGCGAGTAGAGTACAAGAGACACCCCAACAGACGTACCGATACCGCACCGACCCGCCACCACGGCTACCTGAGTCTCCTGAGAGTACCTGAGGGAGTACTTGAGTCTCCTGAGAGTACCTGAGGGAGTACGTGAGGCTCCTGAGAGTACCTGAGGGAGTACTTGAGTCTCCTGAGAGTACCTGAGGGAGTACCTGAGGCTCCTGAGAGTACCTGAGGGAGTACCTGAGGCTCTTGACACTACCTGAGGTGCTCGGAAGGAGGAGCGGGAGGCAGTAGCCCTGTCCTGCAGGAAGGAGAGCAGAGCCTCCTGCAGCTGCACGCGCTTGGCCCGCTCACTCGCTGACACCCCCGTGGTGATGAGGTCCATGTCGATGGTGCCTGTGTGCCTAACAGGGTTCGTTGAAAGTACCTGGGGCGCTCGGAAGGAGGAGCGCGAAGAGGTAGCCCTGTCCTGCAGGAAGGAGAGCAGCGCCTCCTGCAGCTGCACGCGCTTGGCTCGCTCGCTCGCGGACACCCCCGTGGTGATGAGGTCCATGTCGATGGTGCCTGTGGTGGGGTCTCCACGTTCTCAGCCCTCCCTATAACTGGCACCCCTGTTTCTATGCCCACCGCCAACACACGTGCAGGCCTATGCTCCCCAACACCCCGTACCTGAGGCGCGCGGAAGGAGGAACGGGAAGCGGTGGCTCTATCCTGCAGGAAGGAGAGCAGCGCCTCCTGCAGCTGCACTCTCTTGGCCCTCTCACTGGCTGACACGCCCGTGGTAATAAGGTCCATGTCGATGGTGCCTGTGTGTTTTCAGACCCTTCCCTGCATGCCCTCAGCCCTCCCTCTCAAGGGCACCCATGTTTCCCTACCAACAGCCCTATCCCCCCCAAACAACCCGCACCTGAGGCGCTCGGAAGGAGGAGCGGGAAGCGGTGGCTCTATCCTGAAGGAAGGAGAGCAGAGCCTCCTGCAGCTGCACGCGCTTTGCCCGCTCGCTGGCGGACACCCCCGTGGTGATGAGATCCATGTCGATGGTGCCTGTGGTGGGATCCGTGGCCGACTGCTGCATTGCCACGTCTAGCAGCCGCCTTGCCTCTGTCACGTCTTCGTGAGTCACCTGAGGGGAAGTTAGTGAGTGAGGGAGTGAGTGATGGAGTGAGTGAGAGAGAGAGTGAGGGAGTGAGTGGGGAAGTGAGGGAGGGAGGGATTGGGCTAGATTGGTTGCGATTGTGGTGGTGGTGATGAGATCCATGTCAATGGTGCCTGTGGTGGGGTCCGTGGCCGACTGCTGCATTGCCACATCTAGCAGCCTGCGCGCCTCTGTCACGTCCTCGTGAGTCACCTGGTGTTGTTACCAGCACACGGGGGAGGTAAGTGAGTGAGAGGGAGCGAGAGAGGTTCACGAATGGTGCCTGTGGTGGGGTCCGTGGCTGACTGCTGCATTGCCACATCTAGAAGGAGCCGCGCTTCAGTCACGTCCTCGTGTGTCACCTACGAGGAAGCGAGGGAGGGAGAGAGGGAGGAAGAGAGGGAGGGAGAGAGGGACTGAGCTGGTGCCTGTGGTGGGGTCCGTGGCCGACTGCTGCATTGCCACGTCCAACAGCCTGCGCGCCTCTGTCACATGCTATGGAGGTGTTACCAGCACACGGGGAAACAAGGGAGTGAGGGAGGGAGGGAGGGAGTGAAGGAGTGAGCAAGGGAGGGAGGGAGTGGGCTAGTGAGAGCCTGTAGGTGCAGTGCAGCCATGCCCGTGGTGATAAGATCCATGTCTATGTGTGCCTGTGGTGGTCGAGCGCACGCACACGAGAAATTTGCTCCCCTGTGATTCGATTGGCATGTGCAGCGCGAAACCTTGGAGGTGCCTCACAGAGTCCCTTTCCCCCCCCTCACTCCCTCCCCCCCTCCACCCTCCACGCTCCACCCTCTTCCCCCCCAAACTTCACACCCCCACACCCCCCACTCACCTTCCCCTCTTTCAACCCACCGTGGAAGCCAGCCTCAAGCGTGCGAGGGCTTCGCTGATGCGATTTTTACGGCGCCACAACACCCTTCCCCTGTCTCTCCCCTCTCCCCACCCCCCCCCCCCCCCTCCCCCCCTCCCCCCCCCCCCCCCCTCCCTCTTCCCCCACCCACCTTCCCCTCTTTCAACCCACCGTGGAAGCCAGCTTCAAGCGTGCGAGGGCTTCGCTGATGCGGATTAGGCTCTCCAGCTGACGTGGCGTTGCAGTGATGACCTGGCATGTGGTGACGTGGCAGGGAGTATGGCACGGAGAGGCATGCCAGATGGATGTTTGTGTGCGAGTCTTGAAAAACAATTGCACGTGTGCAAGCGCGTCAACACATGCGTTCCCTCCCCTACCCCGGCCACCCCCCTTTCCCTTCTCCTTACCCTCACTGATTGACCCCTCCCCATGTCCCCTCAGCTCACTTCCGCCCTTATCCTTTCCCACTCGGATACTTCCTCCTTTTCTCCTCCAATCCCCTTCCCTTCCTCCCTTATTCCCCCCTCTCAACTCACCTTTCTCCCCGACCCCCTCCCCCGCAGCTCCACATGCCCGTTCACCAGCTCCTCTGCTGCTCGTCTCCTTGCTCCCAGAGCTCCCCCTTTCCCCTCCCCACCCTTCTCCTCCCCCCTTTCTCACCTTTCTCCCGGATCCCCGCCCCCGCAGCTCCACATAAGCGTTCACCAGCTCCTCTGCCGCCTCATCGCTCAGCTCCGGGTGGATGCGCGTGCGGGCGTAGGTGATGTAGGCGGTGAGCGTTGCTACGTCTATGGTGGCTGCAGCCGAGGTCTGAGAGGGAGGGATGGGCAGATGGATGGAGCAGGGGAGGGAACAAGGGGATGCAACAAAGGGCGTTCACCAGCTCCTCTGCCGCCTCGTCGCTCAGCTCTGGGTGGATGCGTGTGCGTGCATACGTGATGTAGGCGGTCAAGGTGCCCACATCTATGGTGGCGGCTGCAGAGGCCTGCAACAGAGGGATGGGCAGATGGATGGAGCAGGGGAGGGAACAAGGGAGTGCAACAAGGAGCGTTCACGAGCTCCTCTGCCGCCTCGTCGCTCAGCTCTGGGTGGATGCGCGTGCGCGCATACGTGATGTAGGCGGTCAAAGTGGCTACGTCGATGGTGGCAGCAGCAGATGCCTGGGGATGAGGGAGAGGAAACAAGTGAGGGGTTCACTCAGCTCTGGGTGGACATGAGCGTGCATTGGCACGTACGTGACTGCTTTTGAGTCGACTCAAAAGCAGACTCAGCTCTGGGTGGACATGCGTGTGCATTGGCACGACTCAAAAGCAGACTCAGCTCTGGGTGGACATGCGCGTGCATGATCACATACGAGATGTAGGCGGTGAGCGTTGCCATGTCCATGGCTTTTGAGACGTCTCAAAACGCGATGTAGGCGGTGAGCGTTGCCATGTCCATGGCTTTTGAGACGTCTCAAAACGCGATGTAGGCGGTGAGCGTTGCCATGTCCATGGCTTTTGAGACGTCTCAAAACGCGATGTAGGCGGTGAGCGTTGCCATGTCCATGGCTTTTGAGACGTCTCAAAACGCGATGTAGGCGGTGAGCGTTGCCATGTCCATGGCTTTTGAGACGTCTCAAAACGCGATGTAGGCGGTGAGCGTTGCCATGTCCATGGCTTTTGAGACGTCTCTAAACGCGATGTAGGCGGTGAGCGTTGCCATGTCCATGGCTTTTGAGACGTCTCAAAACGCGATGTAGGCGGTGAGCGTTGCCATGTCCATGGCTTTTGAGACGTCTCAAAACGCGATGTACGCGGTGAGCGTTGCCATGTCCATGGCTTTTGAGACGTCTCAAAACGCGATGTAGGCGGTGAGCGTTGCCATGTCCATGGCTTTTGAGACGTCTCAAAACGCGATGTAGGCGGTGAGCGTTGCCATGTCCATGGCTTTTGAGACGTCTCAAAACGCGATGTAGGCGGTGAGCGTTGCCATGTCCATGGCTTTTGAGACGTCTCAAAACGCGATGTAGGCGGTGAGCGTTGCCATGTCCATGGCTTTTGAGACGTCTCAAAACGCGATGTAGGCGGTGAGCGTTGCCATGTCCATGGCTTTTGAGACGTCTCAAAACGCGATGTAGGCGGTGAGCGTTGCCATGTCCATGGCTTTTGAGACGTCTCAAAACGCGATGTAGGCGGTGAGCGTTGCCATGTCCATGTCTTTTGAGACGTCTCAAAACGCGATGTAGGCGGTGAGCGTTGCCATGTCCATGACCACACACAGAACCTCTGAGTTCTCAAGGCACTGTACACAATACCACAGCACTGCACACAGTACCAGTACACCGTACTCACTACAACTGCACCGCACACAGTACCTCTGGGTTCTTGTAGTGTACAGCAACGTGGTGGCAAGTGATTAACATAGATTCCACCACCCATGGTACCTCTGCACTGCACACAGCATCACTACACCGCACTCACTACAACTGCACCGCACGCAATACCTCTGGGTTCTTGTAGTGCAGAGCAACGAGATGGCGGGCTAACCGACGGTCGGATTGCTCCTCTGCCTTGTCGAGAATGAGATAGATGAGATCGAACCTGGTGGGGCAGCACGGAAGAAAAACAAGGGTTGTGAAAGAAAACAGTTGCACCTCCTCAGCCCTGTCGAGAACCAGATAGAGAAAAGAGAAATGAGGTGAGAGAAAAGAGAACCAGATAGAGAAAAGAGAAATGAGGTGAGAGAAAAGAGAACCAGATAGAGAAAAGAGAACCAGATAGAGAAAAGAGAAATGAGGTGAGAGAAAAGAGAACCAGATAGAGAAAAGAGAACCAGATAGAGAAAAGAGAAATGAGGTGAGAGAAAAGAGAACCAGATAGAGAAAAGAGAACCAGATAGAGAAAAGAGAAATGAGGTGAGAGAAAAGAGAACCAGATAGAGAAAAGAGAACCAGATAGAGAAAAGAGAAATGAGGTGAGAGAAAAGAGAATCAGATAGAGAAAAGAGAAATGAGGTGAGAGAAAAGAGAACCAGATAGAACATCGAATCGAACCTGGTGGGGTGAGAGAAAAGAGAACGACAAGGCAAAGGTAATGAGGAAGAGGAGGAAAGAGACGGATTCCTCCTTCTAGGCCTTGTCAAGAAGGAGGTTGATAAGAACGAACCTGATGAAGCAGCACGATACCTGGAGAGCAGGGTAGGTGGCAGCTGGATGTTGTCAATGACAGAGAGGCGCGGGTTGTAGCGCGAGCCAGAGGGGTTGGCGCAGGCGAGCACAGACGTGCGCGCGTTGAGCGTGGCGATAATGCCGGCCTTGGCCACTGAGACAGTCTGCTGCTCCATCACCTGACGTGTGTGGGGAGAGAGGAGGTACGTACACACACTCAGTGTGTTAGCAGGAACACACGGTTGGCGCAGGCGAGCACCGACGTGCGTGCGTTGAGCGAGGCGATGATGCCCGCCTTGGCCACTGACACCGTCTGCTGCTCCATGACCTGATTGGGGAGAGAGGGGGATGGGGGTTTCAAACACGCATGGTTTCAAACTGAGCACACAGTTGTCACAGCTGTCTCAGTGCCAAGACGGCCACTGAGACGGTCTGCTGCTCCATGGCCTGATGTGGGGGGGGAGGGCATTGACCCAGGTGTGGTACGGAATTGCAGTGGGATCACACAGACGTGCGTGCGTTGAAGGTGGCCATGATGCCGGCCTTCGCCACTGACACGGTCTGCTCTGCTGCTCCATGGCCTGGTGGGGGGGGAAAGGAGGTGTACACACAGCGAAGAATGGGGTTTGCACGGGTGAAGTGGGTACGGTGAGCACTGTGCGATCAGACCTGCGGCGTGACCACCGGGCCGTGGAGCAGAGCATTGCCTGACATGGTCTGCTCTGCTGCTCCATGGCTCGGTGGAGAGACAGGTGATCGGGACAGGTGCGGAGGGCACACTTACTACTGTGCGATCCCCTCCCCCCCCCTCCCTCCCCCACCAACCTCATGCAGCGTGGTGCCAGCATTGTCGGACACCTTGTGTCTCTGCCTGCCGTATGCATGCACCCACCCACCAACCAACCGCACACACCCCACCCCGCTCCCTTCCCACCTCCCTTGTCCGGCACCTTGTGACTCTTTCTGCCGCATGCACTCCCCCCCTCTTTCACCTCGTGCAGTGTGTTGCGCACATTGTCATCTTTCATCTCGTTTCTCTTTCTGCCACATGTACCCACCCGCAATGGCACACTCCTCCTCCCCCTCCCCCTCTACCCCTCTCCCCCCCCCCCTTCCTCACCTCATGCAGCATGCTGCGGGCATTGTCGGACATCTTGTCAAACTCATCAATGCAGCAGATGCCTCGATCGCTCAGCACCAGCGCTCCGCTCTCCAGCACCTGTGAAGGTGGCAGGCATGGGAGGAACAGAGGAGGAATGTGAAGGCAGACAGACACAGCCTGTCAGGCATGCGGCCTATGTCACCAAGGACTCATCGATGCAGCAGATGCCTCGATCGCTCAGCACCAGTGCTCCGCTCTCCAGCACCTGTGAAGGCGGGCAAGTGGTGGGCAGAGAGAGAGAGAGAGGAGAAGCAGAGGAGAAAAGAAGACACATCTCGTCAGGCGTCTGCTGCACGCCTGACGAGCGATGCAGCAGATGCCCCGGTCGCTCAGCACCAGGACGCCACTCTCCAGCACCTGCAGGCAGGCAGGTCAGGGGAATGGGAAGAGAAAAAAGAAGCACACAGCACCGCATTCAACCCAGGCCTTCGCAACTCATCGATGCAGCAGATGCCCCGACCACCCAGACCGGAGAACTAAAGGACCCGGCTCACCATTTCACGTGTTTCAGGGTCCTTGGTAACGTATGCTGTGAGCCCCACTGCACTGCTCCCCCGCCCGCTCGTGTAGATCCCTCTCGGGGCAATCTTGTGGACATACTGCAGCAGCTGCGACTTACCCGTTTGTGCCTCTACAACCACCCAGCATCAGCTCACCATTTCGCGTGTTTCAGGGTCCTTGGTAACGTATGCTGTGAGCCCCACTGCACTGCTCCCCCGCCCGCTCGTGTAGATCCCTCTCGGGGCAATCTTGTGGACATACTGCAGCAGCTGCGACTTACCCGTTTGTGCCTCTACAACCACCCAGCATCAGCTCACCATTTCGCGTGTTTCAGGGTCCTTGGTGACATATGCTGTGAGCCCCACGGCACTGCTGCCCCGGCCGCTCGTGTAGATCCCTCTAGTAGCGATCTTGTGCACATACTGCAGCAGCTGCGACTTGCTCTCTCGTGCCTCCAAACGAAAAGCAACAACAACAATCACTCAGACCAGACCAGACCAGACCAGACCAGACACCAAAGAAGAAAAGACCCACCATTTCACGTGTTTCAGGGTCCTTGGTAACATAGGCAGTAAGGCCAACAGCACTGCTCCCCCGGCCGCTCGTTTAGATCCCTCTAGTAGCGATCTTGTGCACATACTGCAGCAGCTGCGACTTGCGCTCTCGTGCCTCCAAACGAAAAGCAACAACAACAATCACTCAGACCAGACCAGACCAGACCAGACCAGACCAAAGAAGAACAGACCCACCATTTCACGTGTTTCAGGGTCCTTGGTAACATAGGCAGTAAGGCCAACAGCACTGCTCCCCCGGCCGCTCGTGTAGATCCCTCTAGTAGCGATCTTGTGCACATACTGCAGCAGCTGCGACTTGCTCTCTCGTGCCTCCAAACGAAAAGCAACAACAACAATCACTCAGACCAGACCAGACCAGACCAGACCAGACCAGACCAGACCAGACCAGACCAGACCAGACCAAAGAAGAAAAGACCCACCATTTCACGTGTTTCAGGGTCCTTGGTAACATAGGCAGTAAGGCCAACAGCACTGCTCCCCCGGCCGCTCGTGTAGATCCCTCTAGTAGCAATCTTGTGCACATACTGCAGCAGCTGCGACTTGCTCTCTCGTGCCTCCAAACGAAAAGCAACAACAACAATCACTCAGACCAGACCAGACCAGACCAGACCAGACCAGACCAGACCAGACCAGACCAGACCAGACCAGACCAGACCAGACCAAACCAAAGAAGAAAAGACCCACCATTTCACGTGTTTCAGGGTCCTTGGTAACATAGGCAGTAAGGCCAACAGCACTGCTCCCCCGGCCGCTCGTGTAGATCCCTCTCGGTGCAATCTTGTGCACATACTGCAGCAGCTGCGACTTGCTCGCTCGTGCTTTTGAACAAGAACCACCACCAACCACCCAACATCATCTCACCATTTCGCGTGTCTCAGGGTCCTTGGTAACATACGCAGTAAGCCCCACAGCACTGCTCCCCCGGCCGCTCGTGTAGATCCCCCTAGGAGCGATCTTGTGCACATACTGCAGTAGCTGCGACTTGCTCGTGCCCGGGTCCCCCACCAGCAGCACGTTCATGTCTCCGCGGAACTGCACGCCTGAGGACAGGCGTTTTACTGACCCACCGAAGAGCTGCAGGGAGAGTGAGGGGCAAACAGAAAGGTCAAGTCAAGTCAAGCTGCACGCTCGTGCCCGGGTCCCCCACCAGCAGCACGTTCATGTCTCCGCGGAACTGCACTCCGGATGATAGGCGTTTGACTGGCCCACCGAATAGCTGCAGGGAGGATGGAAGGGAATCGTCAGCAAAGAGCTGGTTAGAGCACATGGAGTCGAGTTGGGTCCCCCACCAGCAGCACGTTCATGTCTCCGCGGAACTGCACTCCGGATGAAAGGCGCTTGACGGAACCCCCAAATAGCTGCAAGAGGGAAGGCACGAAGGATTAACAGAGATGTCACGCAAGTCAAGGGATGCGTGTGTGTGTGTGCCTGGGTCCCCCACCAGCAGCACGTTCATGTCTCCGCGGAACTGCACTCCGGATGAAAGGCGCTTGACGGAACCCCCAAATAGCTGCAAGAGGGAAGGCACAAAGGATTAACAGAGATGTCACGCAAGTCAAGGGATGCGTGTGTGTGTGTGCCTGGGCCCCCCACCAGCAGCACGTTCATGTCTCCGCGGAACTGCACTCCGGATGAAAGGCGCTTGACGGAACCCCCAAATAGCTGCAAGAGGGAAGGCACGAAGGATTAACAGAGATGTCACGCAAGTCAAGGGATGCGTGTGTGTGTGTGCCTGGGTCCCCCACCAGCAGCACGTTCATGTCTCCGCGGAACTGCACTCCTGATGACAAAATCTTGACCGAACCACCAAATAGCTGGAAGGGGGAGGACGGTGGGGCATGGGGGAAAAGGGGCTTAAGAGTTGGGTAGAGCACCCCAAGAAAGCACTCCTTTTAACACCCTTCACCTAACAAAGCACTCACTCCCCTATCCCCCCCACCTGGCACAGCAGCCCCTTCTTGATATCATCCAGCTCGTAGATGGACGGCGCCAGGGTGCATGTGTGGTGAGCTTGTTGCAGAGAGACTATACGATGCTAGCAAAGCCACCTTCCCCCCCACCTGGCAAGCAGCCACCTGCCTACTTCTTCACCTGGCACAGCACTCCCTCCCTTCAACCCACCTGGCACAGCAGCCCCTCCCTTCAACCCACCTGGCACAGCAGCCCCTCCCTTCAACCCACCTGGCACAGCAGCCCCTCCCTTCAACCCACCTGGCACAGCAGCCCCTCCCTTCAACCCACCTGGCACAGCAGCCCCCTGTTGACATCATCCAGCTCGTAGATGGATGGCGCAAGGGAGAACGTGTCTGTATGGCGTGTCTCTGAGTTGCATATGTAACGTGCAAGTCACCCCCCGTCGCCCCCACCTGGTAAACACAACAACTCCCCTCTATTTGGACCCACCTGGCACAGCAGCCCCCTGTTGACATCAACCAGCTCGTAGATGGATGGCGCCAGGGAGAACGTGTCGGTATGGCGTGTCTCTGAGTTGCATATGTAACGTGCAAGTCACCCCCCGTCGCCCCCACCTGGTAAACACAACAACTCCCCTCTATTTGGACCCACCTGGCACAGCAGCCCCTTCTTGATGTCGTCCAGCTCATAGATGGACGGCGCCAGGGAGCGAGCCAGCCGCTCGTATATGTCCGGCTGCCGGGATAGTTCTCGAAACGCCTCCACCTGGTGGGGAGTAGAGTAGAGTAGAGTGGAGGGAGAAAGAACGGACGCAAGTCTGAAAGCTTCCACGAGCACAGGTAGAATCCACAGACGGTTGATGATGTGCATCAGACGGTTGATGATGTGCATCAGATGGTTGATGATGTGCATCAGATGGTTGATGATGTGCATCAGACGGTTGATGATGTGCATCAGACGGTTGATGATGTGCATCAGACGGTTGATGATGTGCATCAGACGGTTGATGATGTGCATCAGACGGTTGATGATGTGCATCAGATGGTTGATGATGTGCATCAGACGGTTGATGATGTGCATCAGACGGTTGATGATGTGCATCAGACGGTTGATGATGTGCATCAGACGGTTGATGATGTGCATCAGACGGTTGATGATGTGCATCAGACGGTTGATGATGTGCATCAGATGGTTGATGATGTGCATCAGATGGTTGATGATGTGCATCAGACGGTTGATGATGTGCATCAGACGGTTGATGATGTGCATCAGACGGTTGATGATGTGCATCAGACGGTTGATGATGTGCATCAGATGGTTGATGATGTGCATCAGATGGTTGATGATGTGCATCAGACGGTTGATGATGTGCATCAGACGGTTGATGATGTGCATCAGACGGTTGATGATGTGCATCAGACGGTTGATGATGTGCATCAGACGGTTGATGATGTGCATCAGACGGTTGATGATGTGCATCAGACGGTTGATGATGTGCATCAGATGGTTGATGATGTGCATCAGATGGTTGATGATGTGCATCAGACGGTTGATGATGTGCATCAGACGGTTGATGATGTGCATCAGACGGTTGATGATGTGCATCAGACGGTTGATGATGTGCATCAGACTGGTTGATGATGTGCATCAGATGGTTGATGATGTGCATCAGATGGTTGATGATGTGCATCAGACGGTTGATGATGTGCATCAGACGGTTGATGATGTGCATCAGACGGTTGATGATGTGCATCAGACGGTTGATGATGTGCATCAGATGGTTGATGATGTGCATCAGATGGTTGATGATGTGCATCAGACGGTTGATGATGTGCATCAGACGGTTGATGATGTGCATCAGACGGTTGATGATGTGCATCAGACGGTTGATGATGTGCATCAGACTGGTTGATGATGTGCATCAGATGGTTGATGATGTGCATCAGACGGTTGATGATGTGCATCAGACGGTTGATGATGTGCATCAGACGGTTGATGATGTGCATCAGACGGTTGATGATGTGCATCAGACGGTTGATGATGTGCATCAGATGGTTGATGATGTGCATCAGACGGTTGATGATGTGCATCAGATGGTTGATGATGTGCATCAGATGGTTGATGATGTGCATCAGACGGTTGATGATGTGCATCAGACGGTTGATGATGTGCATCAGACGGTTGATGATGTGCATCAGACGGTTGATGATGTGCATCAGATGGTTGATGATGTGCATCAGATGGTTGATGATGTGCATCAGACGGTTGATGATGTGCATCAGACGGTTGATGATGTGCATCAGACGGTTGATGATGTGCATCAGACGGTTGATGATGTGCATCAGATGGTTGATGATGTGCATCAGACGGTTGATGATGTGCATCAGACGGTTGATGATGTGCATCAGATGGTTGATGATGTGCATCAGACGGTTGATGATGTGCATCAGACGGTTGATGATGTGCATCAGACGGTTGATGATGTGCATCAGATGGTTGATGATGTGCATCAGACGGTTGATGATGTGTATCAGACGGTTGATGATGTGCATCAGATGGTTGATGATGTGCATCAGACGGTTGATGATGTGCATCAGACGGTTGATGATGTGCATCAGACGGTTGATGATGTGCATCAGATGGTTGATGATGTGCATCAGATGGTTGATGATGTGCATCAGACGGTTGATGATGTGCATCAGACGGTTGATGATGTGCATCAGACGGTTGATGATGTGCATCAGATGGTTGATGATGTGCATCAGATGGTTGATGATGTGCATCAGACGGTTGATGATGTGCATCAGACGGTTGATGATGTGCATCAGATGGTTGATGATGTGCATCAGACGGTTGATGATGTGCATCAGACGGTTGATGATGTGCATCAGACGGTTGATGATGTGCATCAGATGGTTGATGATGTGCATCAGACGGTTGATGATGTGCATCAGACGGTTGATGATGTGCATCAGATGGTTGATGATGTGCATCAGACGGTTGATGATGTGCATCAGACGGTTGATGATGTGCATCAGACGGTTGATGATGTGCATCAGATGGTTGATGATGTGCATCAGACGGTTGATGATGTGTATCAGACGGTTGATGATGTGCATCAGATGGTTGATGATGTGCATCAGACGGTTGATGATGTGCATCAGACGGTTGATGATGTGCATCAGACGGTTGATGATGTGCATCAGATGGTTGATGATGTGCATCAGATGGTTGATGATGTGCATCAGACGGTTGATGATGTGCATCAGACGGTTGATGATGTGCATCAGACGGTTGATGCTGTGCATCAGATGGTTGATGATGTGCATCAGATGGTTGATGATGTGCATCAGATGGTTGATGATGTGCATCAGACGGTTGATGATGTGCATCAGACGGTTGATGATGTGCATCAGACGGTTGATGATGTGCATCAGACGGTTGATGATGTGCATCAGATGGTTGATGATGTGCATCAGACGGTTGATGATGTGCATCAGACGGTTGATGATGTGCATCAGATGGTTGATGATGTGCATCAGACGGTTGATGATGTGCATCAGACGGTTGATGATGTGCATCAGATGGTTGATGATGTGCATCAGACGGTTGATGATGTGCATCAGACGGTTGATGATGTGCATCAGACGGTTGATGATGTGCATCAGACGGTTGATGATGTGCATCAGACGGTTGATGATGTGCATCAGATGGTTGATGATGTGCATCAGACGGTTGATGATGTGCATCAGACGGTTGATGATGTGCATCAGACGGTTGATGATGTGCATCAGACGGTTGATGATGTGCATCAGATGGTTGATGATGTGCATCAGACGGTTGATGATGTGCATCAGACGGTTGATGATGTGCATCAGATGGTTGATGATGTGCATCAGACGGTTGATGATGTGCATCAGATGGTTGATGATGTGCATCAGATGGTTGATGATGTGCATCAGACGGTTGATGATGTGCATCAGACGGTTGATGATGTGCATCAGACGGTTGATGATGTGCATCAGACGGTTGATGATGTGCATCAGATGGTTGATGATGTGCATCAGATGGTTGATGATGTGCATCAGACGGTTGATGATGTGCATCAGACGGTTGATGATGTGCATCAGACGGTTGATGATGTGCATCAGACGGTTGATGATGTGCATTAGACGGTTGATGATGTGCATCAGATGGTTGAGGATGTGCATCAGACGGTTGATGATGTGCATCAGACGGTTGATGATGTGCATCAGACGGTTGATGATGTGCATCAGACGGTTGATGATGTGCATCAGACGGTTGATGATGTGCATCAGACGGTTGATGATGTGCATCAGATGGTTGATGATGTGCATCAGACGGTTGATGATGTGCATCAGACGGTTGATGATGTGCATCAGATGGTTGATGATGTGCATCAGACGGTTGATGATGTGCATCAGACGGTTGATGATGTGCATCAGACGGTTGATGATGTGCATCAGATGGTTGATGATGTGCATCAGATGGTTGATGATGTGCATCAGACGGTTGATGATGTGCATCAGACGGTTGATGATGTGCATCAGACGGTTGATGATGTGCATCAGACGGTTGATGATGTGCATCAGACGGTTGATGATGTGCATCAGATGGTTGATGATGTGCATCAGATGGTTGATGATGTGCATCAGACGGTTGATGATGTGCATCAGACGGTTGATGATGTGCATCAGACGGTTGATGATGTGCATCAGACGGTTGATGATGTGCATCAGATGGTTGATGATGTGCATCAGACGGTTGATGATGTGCATCAGACGGTTGATGATGTGCATCAGACGGTTGGTGATGTGCATCAGACGGTTGATGATGTGCATCAGACGGTTGATGATGTGCATCAGATGGTTGATGATGTGCATCAGACGGTTGATGATGTGCATCAGACGGTTGATGATGTGCATCAGACGGTTGATGATGTGCATCAGACGGTTGATGATGTGCATCAGACGGTTGATGATGTGCATCAGATGGTTGATGATGTGCATCAGACGGTTGATGATGTGCATCAGATGGTTGATGATGTGCATCAGATGGTTGATGATGTGCATCAGACGGTTGATGATGTGCATCAGACGGTTGATGATGTGCATCAGACGGTTGATGATGTGCATCAGACGGTTGATGATGTGCATCAGATGGTTGATGATGTGCATCAGATGGTTGATGATGTGCATCAGACGGTTGATGATGTGCATCAGACGGTTGATGATGTGCATCAGACGGTTGATGATGTGCATCAGACGGTTGATGATGTGCATCAGACGGTTGATGATGTGCATCAGACGGTTGATGATGTGCATCAGATGGTTGATGATGTGCATCAGACGGTTGATGATGTGCATCAGACGGTTGATGATGTGCATCAGATGGTTGATGATGTGCATCAGACGGTTGATGATGTGCATCAGACGGTTGATGATGTGCATCAGACGGTTGATGATGTGCATCAGATGGTTGATGATGTGCATCAGACGGTTGATGATGTGTATCAGACGGTTGATGATGTGCATCAGATGGTTGATGATGTGCATCAGACGGTTGATGATGTGCATCAGACGGTTGATGATGTGCATCAGACGGTTGATGATGTGCATCAGATGGTTGATGATGTGCATCAGATGGTTGATGATGTGCATCAGACGGTTGATGATGTGCATCAGACGGTTGATGATGTGCATCAGACGGTTGATGATGTGCATCAGATGGTTGATGATGTGCATCAGATGGTTGATGATGTGCATCAGATGGTTGATGATGTGCATCAGATGGTTGATGATGTGCATCAGATGGTTGATGATGTGCATCAGACGGTTGATGATGTGCATCAGACGGTTGATGATGTGCATCAGACGGTTGATGATGTGCATCAGACGGTTGATGATGTGCATCAGATGGTTGATGATGTGCATCAGACGGTTGATGATGTGCATCAGACGGTTGATGATGTGCATCAGATGGTTGATGATGTGCATCAGACGGTTGATGATGTGCATCAGACGGTTGATGATGTGCATCAGATGGTTGATGATGTGCATCAGACGGTTGATGATGTGCATCAGACGGTTGATGATGTGCATCAGATGGTTGATGATGTGCATCAGACGGTTGATGATGTGCATCAGACGGTTGATGATGTGCATCAGATGGTTGATGATGTGCATCAGACGGTTGATGATGTGCATCAGACGGTTGATGATGTGCATCAGACGGTTGATGATGTGCATCAGACGGTTGATGATGTGCATCAGATGGTTGATGATGTGCATCAGACGGTTGATGATGTGCATCAGACGGTTGATGATGTGCATCAGATGGTTGATGATGTGCATCAGACGGTTGATGATGTGCATCAGACGGTTGATGATGTGCATCAGATGGTTGATGATGTGCATCAGACGGTTGATGATGTGCATCAGACGGTTGATGATGTGCATCAGATGGTTGATGATGTGCATCAGACGGTTGATGATGTGCATCAGACGGTTGATGATGTGCATCAGACGGTTGATGATGTGCATCAGACGGTTGATGATGTGCATCAGATGGTTGATGATGTGCATCAGACGGTTGATGATGTGCATCAGACGGTTGATGATGTGCATCAGATGGTTGATGATGTGCATCAGACGGTTGATGATGTGCATCAGACGGTTGATGATGTGCATCAGATGGTTGATGATGTGCATCAGATGGTTGATGATGTGCATCAGACGGTTGATGATGTGCATCAGACGGTTGATGATGTGCATCAGATGGTTGATGATGTGCATCAGACGGTTGATGATGTGCATCAGACGGTTGATGATGTGCATCAGACGGTTGATGATGTGCATCAGACGGTTGATGATGTGCATCAGATGGTTGATGATGTGCATCAGATGGTTGATGATGTGCATCAGATGGTTGATGATGTGCATCAGAGGCTGCCGCTACGAGCATAGGGGGAGCGCCTAGGCGTCCAGTCTTTCCTTTTGAGGTGCCTCTTAAGCACAGCAGGCTGATGTGCTTAATGAAGCTGCATGCATGATAGGCAGACAGACTGACTAAAGCCTATCCAAACCTGCTGCGGAGGAAGTAGGCCGCATCGGGGTTGGTGTCGTCAGCATCGCCTCCAGCAGAGGCTGCTTCTGAGACGTCGCAAGGTCCTCCATGATTGATTGGCAAGCAAAACAAGAAGACCCATCCAAACCTGCTGCGGAGGAAGTAGGCAGCATCGGGGTTGGTGTCGGCAGCATCGCCTCCATCAAATTCTGCCAGTGACTGTGACTGCTGCACTGCTCTTTTTGAGCTGTTTCGAAGGCAAAACCTTCAAAAGGCAACACCCATCCGTATCTGCTGTGGAGAGAAGTAGGCAGCATCGGGGTTGGTGTCGGCAGCATCAGGGTAGGTGTCGGCAGCATCGCCTCCATCAAATGCTGCCAGTGACTGTGCTGCTCCTTTTGACACGTCTAGCAGAGGCTGCCAACGGCTCTGACTGTGACTGCACCTGCATATGCTGCACTTGTTCCTCTTGCGACGCCTCAAAAGGCAACACCCAGCCCACCCATACCTGCTGCGGTGAGAAGGAGGCAGCGTCAGGGTTGGTTGGTGTCATCAGCATCGCCTCCAGCAGCTGCTGCCAATGGTTGTTGTGACTCCGCTGCGCCGGCACCTGCTGCACTGCTCCTCTTGAGAAGCCTTAAAAGGCAACACCCAGCCCACCCATACCTGCTGCGGTGAGAAGTAGGCAGCATCGGGGTTGGCGTCATCAGCATCGCCTCCAGCAGAGGTTGCCAGCGGCTGTGACTGCTGCGCTGCCCCCTTGTTGCGTGTGCGGCCTCCCTCCTCCTTGCGGATGTGAATGCAGTCAAGATAGGTCTGTAATAAGTGGGAGGCAGGAAGAGGGGGAGAAAGGAAATTGAGCTTGTTCCCAAGTCTGCTGCGCTGCCCCCTTGTTGCGCATACAGCCTCCCTCCTCCTTGCGGATGTGAATGCAGTCCAGATATGTCTGCAAGGTGGGAGTGGGGAGAAGGGGAAAGGGGGAATGCGAGATTGTTCCTAAATCTGTTGTGCTGCCCCCTTGTTGCGTGTGCGCCCCCCCTTCCTCCTTGCAGATGTGGATGCAGACCAGATACGTCTGCAATAAGAGGGGGGGAGAGCGGAGAGGATGGGGTTGCTAGTACAATTGTGATTGTGATTGTGACTGTGACTGTGACTGTGATTGTGATTGTGATTGTGATTGTGATTGTGACTGTGACTGTGATTGTGACTGTGATTGTGACTGTGATTGTGACTGTGACTGTGACTGTGACTGTGACCGTGACTGTGATTGTGATTGTGACTGTGATTGTGACTGTGACTGTGACTGTGACTGTGACTGTGACTGTGACCGTGACCGTGACCGTGACTGTGACTGTGATTGTGACTGTGACTGTGACTGTGACTGTGACTGTGATTGTGACTGTGACCGTGACTGTGACCGTGACTGTGACTGTGACCGTGACTGTGATTGTGATTGTGACTGTGACTGTGACCGTGACTGTGACTGTGACTGTGACCGTGACTGTGATTGTGCTTGTGACTGTGACTGTGACTGTGACTGTGATTGTGATTGTGACTGTGACAATTGCTGGCTGCCACAGATTGCGGTGGCGGGGGCGGCGACAGCAGCAGCAGCAGCAGCAGCAGCAGCAGCAGCAGCAGCAGCAGCAGCAGCCCCCACCCACCCTTCCACCACCCATCCCCCCACCCGCCCGGCGCCCACCCACTCACCCATCCACTAACCCACCCACCCACCCTCGGATTAGAGGTTGCGCTGGTTAAAGTTGACTCTTAAGACGACTCAAAAGCCACCCGCCCACTCAACCCCTCCCAACCACGCACCCCCCATCCCCCCCTCTACCCACCCGGTAGAGAGAGAGCAGGTTGCCCTGGTTGAGGTTGATACTTGAGACGTCCTCAAAAGCCGCTCGCCCAGTCAACCCCTCCAACCCACCAAACCACACCAACCCCATCCCACCAGTTTGTTTGAGGTTGATTTTGAGAATTCTCAAAATCAACCCCATCCCACCACCCACTCACCCACCCACCCACCCCCCCAGTCAACCCACCCACCCCCCCAGTCAACCCACCCACCCACCCGGTAGAGAGAGAGCAGGTTACGCTGCTTGGAGTTGACTCTTCAGACGTCTCAAAAGCCTGCCTGCCCAACTACCCACCCACCCACCTTCCTACCCACCCACCCACCCACCCACCCACCCACCTACCCACGCACCCGGTAGAGCGAGCGCAGGTTATGCTGGTTGGAGTTGACTCTTCAGACGTCTCAGAAGCCCGCTCGCTCGCCCGCCCACCCACACATCCACCCACCCACCCTCCCACCCACCTGCCCACGCACCCCCTAACCCAACGCCCATCCCACCCACCTACACCCACCCGGTAGAGCGAGCGCAGGTTGCGCTGGTTGGAGTTGACCCGCACGGGTACGGCTCGAAACACCCCCGTCACCTGCATGCACAGCATTGCAATACCAGGGGCAAGGCACACAGTCAGGCAGGTAGCTGGAAAGCCGGTCAGCCGGTCAGCTGCTCAGCCGATCAGCCAGTCAGCTGGTCAGCCGGCCAACCGGTCAGCCGGTCAACCGGTCAGCCGGTCAGCCGTTTAGCTGGTCAGCCGATCAGTCAGCTGGTCAGCCGATCAGCCAGACATCTCACTTGTTCTGCTGCAGTGTTGCATTACTCGCCAGTGCTTATGAAAGTCTGATGCCAGGCACACCATGGTTGGGGGAAGAGGAACAAAGGTAAACACTCCTCTGGCGAATGTGACCACGCACAAAACAACCAGACCACCCCTCACCTCCACTCGGTTGCCCCGCTTGGCAGTGTCAACCAAGGAATCAAACAGGAACACAGACAGCGTGGGGTGTGGAAACCCCCTTCAGGCGTGTCCTCTGGTGTCTCCTGCAGGCGCAGCCACGTTACTGGTACTATACATCCAGGAAAGAAAGAAGCTCACCTCCACTCGGTCACCCGACCAAGGAGTCAAACAGAAACACGGACTCGGTGTGCGGTGTCTCCCCTTCAGGCATGTCCTCTGGTGTCTCCTGCGGGCGCAGCCATGTCGCTGCTAGTGATCCATGCAGGAGAGAAAGAAGCTCACCTCCACTCGGTCACCCGGTTTCGCAGTGTCAACCAATGAGTCAAACAGAAACACCGACACAGTATGAGGTGTCTCCCTCTCAGGCATGTCCTCTGGAGTCTCCTGCAGGCGGAGGCACGTCCCTAGCAAAAACCCACGTAGTGTTGATGTTTAAAGCTCACCTCCACTCGATCGCCCGGCTTGGCAGTATCCACCAAGGAGTCAAACAGGAACACGGGCACAGTGTGCGGTGTCTCCCCCTCAGGCATGTCCTCGGGCGTCTCCTGCAGGCGCAGCATCTGCTTGTTGATAAACCGGCTGCGGTTGTGCAACAGCGTCATGCTGTTCATCGCCCCACACTCGGGCCAGGGACACCGCCTTGGTTCCTCTATCACCCCTGCGAGACAAGCGTGGGGAGTAAGGAGGGCGTGCGGAGGGGAGGGGAAGGGGGAAAAGGAGAGAGAAAAAGGTGGAGGGTACGGATAGGGGAACATAGCAAGCAGGGATCTCCTGCAGGCGCAGCATCTGCTTGTTGATGAAGCGGCTGCGGTTGTGCAACAGCGTCATGCTGTTCATCGCTCCACACTCGGGCCACGGGCACCGCCTTGGCTCCTCTATTACTCCTGCAAGGGCCCGAAGAGGGAGGGCGGAGGGAGGGGGATGGGGAGGCATGTGTCTCCTGTAGGCGCAGAAACAGCAGCATCTGCTTGTTAATGTAGCGGCTGCGGTTGTGCAGCAGCTCCATGCTGTTCAACGCTCCACACTCAGGCCATGGGCAGCGCCGCGCCTCCTCGATCATTCCTGCAAAGTACCAAAGACAGAGGGCGGAGAGGAGGGCAGGGAGAAGGGAGTGGGAAAGCAGAGGTGGGTGGAGTGGGGGAACAGAGGAGATGTTTCCTGCAGCATCTCTGTCCACAAGCACGAGGTCAGGAGAGTGACCGCAGACGAGGCACTAGCAGTGAGCTGTCTTGATGCGTCATTCCACCCACGCACTGTCCCCCTCCCCCCCCCTTACTCATCTCTCCCCACGTTCGTCTCTCAACTTACCTCTGTCAACAAGCACGAGGTCAGGCGAGTGGCCGCACACGAGGCACTTGAAGTAAGCAGCCTTGATGTCTGGGATGATGGAGGAGGTGCGGATGACCATGCCCCTCACAGCCACCAGTGCATCGATGTCTGATGGGGAGAAAGGGAGGGGGGAGGAAGGAGGTACGGCTTTCAAATTGCCTGACAAAAGGATGATGGAGGAGGTGCGGATGACCATGCCCCTCACCGCCACCAATGCATCGATGTCTGATGATGGGAGGAGGGTTGGAGAAAGGTGGGAGAGGAGGGAGGGTAGGAGGAGGGGAGGGAGGGTAGGAGGAGAGGAGGGAGCGCGGGAAAGGTGGGAAAAGAGGGAGGTTGGACGGGGGAGGGTTGGTGCGAATGATGATCAGTAGGCATGTCGGCATGAGAGTGACCGCACACACAAGGCATTTGAAGTAAGCGGCCTTGATGTCTGGGATGATGGAGGAGGTGCGGATGACCATGCCCCTCACAGCCACCAGTGCGTCGATGTCTGGTGGGGAGATGGGGAGGAGGGTTAGAGGGGGGTGGGAGGAAAGGGAAGGTAGGGGGAGAGGAGGGAGGGCGAATAATGTTGAAGAAAGGGGAGGTTGGAGAAGGGAGGGGTTGGTGTGGTGGATGATGATCACTGTTTGAGGCGCTTCAAAAGACGTACCTGGTGACTCTTGAGTCGACTCAAAAGTCACCTCTTTTGAGTCGACTCAAAAGTTACCTCGAAGGGAGGGGTTGGTGTGGTGGATGATCATTACTGTTTGAGGCGCTTCAAAAGACGTACCTGAGGGGTTGAGGTCGCGCATGTGCACTGTGTCCCGGAGGTTGAACGTGCGGTCCGACTTAAAGATAGTGTGGAGTGGTGTGGTGTAGTGTAGTGTGGTGTGGTGTATTCTGGTGCGGTCTTCCAGCCCCAGCAACAAGGTGGGAAGGGAGGCACGCACCTGAGGGGTTGAGGTCGCGCATGTGCACTGTGTCCCGGAGGTTGAACGTGCGCACCTGGAGAGATGGGGGAAGGGAGGGGGACGGGAGGGCAGGAAGAGTGAAGCGTAGCGGGGAGAAATGAAGAGGAGAAGCAGAGATTGGAAGGTCGCGCATGTGCACTGTGTCCCGGAGGTTGAACGTGCGCACCTGGAGAGATGGGGGAAGGGAGGGGGACGGGAGAGAGGGCGTGGAGGGGAGTGGGATATGGCAATAGCAGTCCAGTGCGACTATAGCCAGAGTGCTTATGACCCATGCCCACATGTGCTTATAACAGACGTGCTTGCCTTAGCCCCCCACCTGGATGTGCTTGTCCCACATGGGCATGCGGTCGGCTGCCAGCTGCCTCACACCCATGACGTGTGGAAACAAACGAGATGTGCTTATAACGGACGTGCTTAAGCCGCCCACCTGGATGTGCTTGTCCCACATGGGCATGCGGTCGGCTGCCAGCTCAGCAATCTTGATGTCGAAGATGGGGATGACCTCCAATGGGTAGCGCACAAGTAGGCGGTACAGCTCAGCAGAGAAGGCATACACGTCAGCACAGTCCACAGGAAATGTGTCCCCCTCCATCTCCAGCAGCTGAAATGCATGAAGGGCGTGAATGGGGGGGATAGGGTACAGAGATCGTCTCGTCAGCACAGTCCACGGGGAAATGCATGGAGGGTGTTTGTGAGGGGCGTGCATGGGGGGTGCTTGTGAGGGGCGTGCATGGGGGGTGCTTGTGAGGGGCGTGCATGGGGGGTGCTTGTGAGGGGCGTGCATGGGGGGTGTTTGTGAGGGGCGTGCATAGAGGGTGTTTGTGAGGGGCGTGCATGGGGATAGGGTACAGAGATCGTCTCATCAGCACAGTCCACGGGGAAGGTGTCCCCCTCCATCTCCACCAGCTGATGGGTGCGGGGGGCATGCGAGACGGGCGTGGATGGGGATAGGATAGGTAGATAGAGACTTTTGAGACGTCTCAAAAGAGGACAGAAAAGTCCACGGGGAAGGTGTCTCCCTCCATCTCCACCGGCTGGTGGGTGTGGGGGGAGGGGGAGGGAGAGAGTGAGGGAAGGATGTATGTCGCGTTGGACTGTGGTGCCTGGAAGGAGTACACGTCACAAAAGAACAGTCCACGATGCTGCAGGGTGTTTTCTCCTGCATGTCTGTGATTGCTCCTGTCTTGATTGCTGAGAATTCTCAGAAACACCCTGCAGCTGCATGGAAGGAGTACACGTCAGCACAGAACAGTTCACGGGGAAGGTGTCCCCCTCCATCTCCACCAGCTGGTGGGTGTGCAGCAGGCGGGGGAGGGGGAGGGGGAGGGGGAGGGGGAGGGGGAGGGGGAGGGGAGGGGGAGGGGGAGGGGGAGGGGAGGGGGAGGAGAGGGGTAGGGGGAGGGGGAGGGGGAGGGGGAGGGGAAGGGGGAGGGGAGGGGTAGGGGGAGGGGGAGGGGGAAGGGAAGGGGAGATTTACGAGGTGTTGGACTTGTGCTGCAGAGAAGGCGTACATTTCAACACAGTCACCCAGGGGGAAGGTGCCCCCCTCCATCTCCACCAACCAGTATGTATGCGGGGGACAGGGGCAGGGGCAGGGGCAGGGGCAGGGGTAGGGGGAGAGTGGGAGAGGAAGTGGGGATTTTGAGAAGGACTGGTGTTTGAGAAGGGCTGTGCTTTTGAGAAGGACTGGTGTCTCAAAAGAAGGACTGTGCTGCATAAGGCGTACTTGTCAGCAGCACAGATCACCAGGAAGGTGTCCGTCCCCTTCCAGCTTCACCAGCTGATGTGATTTTTTAGGCGCCTCAAATTTTTTAGGCGCCTCAAGTTTTTTAGGCGCCTCATAAGGCGTATTTGTCAGCACAGCTAACCAGGAAGGTGTCCCTCCCCTTCCAGCTTCACCAGCTGATGTGATTTTTGAGGCGCCGCATAAGGCGTACTTGTCAGCACAGATCACCAGGAAGGTGTCCGTTCCCCTCCAGCTTCACCAGCTAATGGGCGTGTGGGGGGCCAGGGGCGAGGGAGGGAGGAGGAGGGGGTGAGGAGGAGGGGGGGGGGGGAGAAAGGACGAGGGAGGCGAACGAAGAAGGGAATTATGGTTAGCTTGCAAAATGATGCTCAAGATGCAAACTTGATAGACGTCAACACAACACAGTCCATCATGAGGAGGCTCACTCACACACACCTCCCTAGCGCCCCTAGTTTTGAGGCGCCTCAAAATTCTAGTTTAGTTTTGAGGCGCCTCAAAACTAAACCAAACTTGATAGACGTCAGCACAACACAGTCCATCATGAGGAGGCTCACTCACTCACTCACACCTCCCTAGAGCCCCTTCGTTCCCTCCCTTCCCTCGCCTCCTTTCCCCACGCGCCCCGCACCTCATCCAGCTGCTGAGAGTACTTGGCGTGAAGGGCATCATCCGCCTCCCTGAAGTGCCGCACGAACGATGCAAACTTGCCCCACTCACCTCCCTAGAGCCCCCTTGTTCCCTCCCTTCCCTCTCTCCGGCTACCCTCAAACGGCCCCACCTGCCCCCCCACAGTCCGCACCTCATCCAGCTGCTGGGAGTACTTGGCGTGAAGGGCATCATCCGCCTCCCTGAAGTGCCGCACGAACGATACAATGCAAACTTGCCCCACTCACCTCCCTAGAGCCCCCTTGTTCCCTCCCTTCCCTCTCTCCGGCTACCCTCAAACGGCCCCACCTGCCCCCCCACAGTCCGCACCTCATCCAGCTGCTGGGAGTACTTGGCGTGAAGGGCATCATCCGCCTCTCTAAAGTGCCGCGAACGATGCAAACTTACCTGCCCACTTGCCTTCATTGCTCACTCACATCCCTCTCCTCTACTCCCCCACAGTCCGCACCTCATCCAGCTGCTGGGAGTACTTGGCGTGAAGAGCATCATCCGCCTCCCTGAAGTGCCGCACGAACGATGCAAACTTGCTGGACACGTCCTGCACGCTCACCCCCGTGCCCCACACAAACGTGCCCTCCAACTCCTCCTCCTCCCCCTCCCCTGGAACCCCCATCCCCTGCGCCTCCCCACCCAGTCCCGCCTCCCTGCGCGCCCCTTCCCGTGCCCCTGCTCCTCCCCCTGCCCCTGCGCCTGCCCCAGTTCCTCCCCCTGCCCCTGCTCCTGCCCCTGCCCCTGCCCCTGCGCCTGCCCCAGTTCCTCCCCCTGCCCCTGCTCCTGCGGCTCCTCCTCTCCCTCGCTGTTGTTGCTGCCGGTGGTACTGCTCCCATGACATTCTGTCCTGCTCCGAGTTGCCTCCCTGTGTGGGGCGTGAGCGGAACAGGAGGGGAAAGGGAGGGCGAGCGGAGCAGAGAGAGGAAGCCATTACAAGAGCGCTCTGTGCTGCTCCGAATTTCCTCCCCAGATACGCCCTTCCCTGGATACGCTACAGCCTGTCCTGTTTTTTTCTTAAGCCACCTAAGAAAAAAACCTACCAGGCTATCGGATGGCTCAGGGGGCCCCGAAGTGCTGACGGGCGTGCTAGAAGGAGCACCTCCCCCAGATGCCGCCTGCCCTGACAGTGCTTGTGATGCCTTTCAAAAGCCAAATAACAGGTTATCAGATCGCTCAGGCGGTCCTGGCGTGCTGACGGACGAACCTGCATGCGCACCACTCCCAGATGCCACCTGCCCTAACGGTGAGGCATTTCAGAAACCACCTACCAGACTATCAGATGGCTTGGGGGGCCCCTGGCGTGCTGACAGGCGTGCCTAAAGGTGCACCACCCCCAGATACCGCCTGCCCTGACGCTTTCTAAGTGTAACAGCACAACCACCCACCTACCAGGCTATCAGACGGCTCAGGGGGCCCTGGCGTGCTGACAGGCGTGCCTGAAGGCGCACCCCCCCCAGATGCCGCCTGCCCTGATGCGCCCTGCCTGCGGCGGTGGAACCTGCGGCGCTGCGCCATGGAGCCCCCGAGGTCGCTCCTGGGGAAGGACGGACTGAGCGGGGGGAGATTGGGCGGAATGGGGAAAAAGCAGTGAATCAGGTTTTCTCTTTGCTGCCTTTCCAACCGTGAGTGACGGCAACTGGCGGCGCTACGCCATAGACCCGCCGAGGTCGCTCCTGGGGAAGAACGGACTGATGGGAGGGAAATGCGGAGGGGGAGGGAAGGGGGGGGGGGGGGGGGAGAGGGGAGGAACAGTAGTGGGCGAGGGGGTGTTGGTGAGGGTGGGGGGAAGGTGGGGTTGGGTTAAAAGTGGAGGGGAGAACAGGCGCGCACAGTACATACGTGATCGAGGTCCGGACCCCAACAGAACACGGATCGATTGCGTGTGAGTCGAGCAAAAGTTAGCCTGCCAAGAGTTCCCGTTCGATTGAGTGAAGCGAGCACCGAGGTCCCCTGAAATCATGAAAGCGCGTGTCAGATAAAAGATGGAACTTTCACAACGAAAGCGGCTGCAGGAACGGACCAACGACTACCCAACGATTACAGAGTGCATGAATCTGAAACTGTAACAAGAAAACCACTAGTTGGCGCTAGACGCAACACACGCGGATCGGACAGTTCGTTGATCGCTTGCTTGCGTTCTTCGGCGGTGGCTTTTGAGTCCACTTAGAAAAATGAACTGGTAGATGCAAGTAAGCAACGATTACTAGGTACAAGCCGCAACGCACGTGGATCGGACGGTGGGTTGCTGCGAGCTGTACGGGCTGCCGGCGCTCGCGCGCGGCGTGAAGTTCAGCTGAGGCGAGCTCGATCGTCCCGAGTCCCGCGGAGTTAGCGGAGTCTGCTCCGGCGTTCGCATTGACCCTTGCGGGGTCTGTGCGGAAACGCCATCGCTGCGTGTATGGGGATTTCCGTCTGATGACATTTTATCGAATGGCTAGTTATTTGCTTAATCGCACTGATTAGCAAGACACTAAGGACGTCGAACAGTAGGGAAGGCAATGCTGAGTGAAAAGCAGCTCTGGAATCTAGATTTTGGAACCGTGTCGGGGTAGCACTACGGATTGTGTCAGAGGTTTTCTCGTTGTAGGTGGATCCCGATAACGACCTAGAAATATATTTTTTATTGCTACATGTGCTGGTTGACTCCCTTGAATGTACACATTGTAATACGATAAAACCGGAGGAAACTTAGTCCCACTCTAGAAAGATATTGTTTATAGCCCCATGCAAGGAAAACAAATAGGCACTTAGCATGTCTAGACAATAATAGCACGATAAAAAAGAGGCTGTAGAAGAATCGTGCACAACACATGATCAAAAGGTACTCCACATTACAGCTATGGAAAGTCACGTCCTCTCTAAACTACTCACATTCCAACAACCAGTATGGTTTCTACTTGCAGCGGGTACAGGTAGTTCATCAATCCTGTCTCGTCCCAGCGCTCCGCATCCCGTCCGCCACACCTGCTCCACTCCGGACTCCGCCCACCGCACAGCCCTCCGCCACCGCCTGCGCTCTTCCCGCACCCGCAAAACGCCGACGCGCAACAGTAGCGTCAAAAGCCTCTGATTCTTTCTTATATCGCGTCAGCGCAAGGGAAGAAAAGGTTCCTTTCGATTTGCAGCCATGTCCGCTCCGGAGAAGCCGCTGGTGTCGGAGGAGGAGATGGCGAACGCGCGGCTGAGCCTGGGCGCGCGCGATCTGTGCGCGCATCTGCTGATTCCGCTGAATCGGTGCCGCACGGAGACGATGTTCGCGCCGTGGAAGTGCAGCGACGAGCGGCACTCGTACGAAAAGTGCGAATACGAGCTTTTCCTACGGCGGATGAAGAAGATGGAGGCTTTCCGCGAAGCAACGCAATGACCTCGTTATAGTGACGCGCAGGTGAGGAGAAAAGTGGTCAAGGGGCAGTAACGGGTTGTGGCGCGTCAAACGGTTGTGCTTTTTTTTACAGGCCATTGACATTTCAACGACGAGCGCGTTTGCTCGGCGGATCGAAATGCTTCTGGCCAACGGCGTTTCGAGGAGCCATGATTAAAATGGCTCCTCCTTAGCCGAGCGTAGAGCACTGGCAACCCGAGAGGTGACCTAGTGACTTGTATGGTTCCAGTCCCGTGGTTCACCTTAGAAGGAAACTATGTAGGGGTACGCCTGTAGTGGCACACTGTAGCGGATTGAGACGAGTTATGAGGCGCTTCAAATTTTATCATGTTGATCACCTCTAGCCTGACTAGTGATGTAGTGGACTATTATCATGACCAGTTGTGATTTGTTGTTCCCATGAATCCGTTATCCATTGGCCTAGTGTGCTAGTACGGGTTGTCAGGCTCTAACCACTCTTAGGTGCGCTCGGTGCGCTTCTGACATATTTTGGCAATGGGTTTGAGAACCGGATGCAAGAGTCCATGCCTCTGTCATCAGTCACGTTCCCTTCCCTAGTGCTGGCTGCTCGGTTCGTGATATCTGAGTCAGTTTCTTGGGCTGATACTTGTCCTTTCAAAAACATTCCTCCATTCAAACATCTGCTCCTACGGTAACTGTTTGCCTGTCTTCCCTGCTCCAACTGTTTTTTTTTTCACCAACGTCAGGTTCACTACTTGCTCCAGTTCAAGGGCATACATATAGGACGAGTGCAAGCTCTGTGATACAGCCCTGATTTCTGCATGAAACTTTGGAACAGGACAGTCAGTTCTGGTGCATTCAGGAATGTATAGCAATTAAGTTGTAGACCACCTTGTGCGCGCTTTATTGTATCCCGATTTTTTATCATGCAAGTACCACGGTACCCTTGCTACTGAACATCGATAAAATAAGGATATTTCAATTGTAGGGACTGGCTGCATGAAATATAGACCATACATTGTTTGCATTTGCATTAATACATGTACGACAATTTTAATCACGCGAATCATCATGTAGCCATTTATGTGCTTTGCCGACCTCGCTTGTAGCGGTGAATTCCTCACCCCATAGCATCCAGCCTCAAGTAGTTTCACAAACCCCTACACCTTGATTTAGGGTTAGCAAATTTCCTGTCTCCTATCCCTGCTTCAGATACCTTTCAAGGCCGCCTGATCCGCTGGTTGACCGCCTCGAATCGACCGGCGGAAAGCCGCGCGGGGGTTCGGGGATTCATCGTGTTTCGAGGAATTTGCATCGCGTGCCGGTATTCGAATCGCACCGTGTTACGTCGGACCGGCATTCGGTGGTACTGGTGACCGTGAAGCAGTCTTAGTATCTCACCGTCCGCCGTTGATGCGGCCATGAACAAGTCGGTTCGTCATGAGGTGCGCATGAGTTCATCTACATGTAGACGATTTCGCTTCTCCACAGCCCGTTCTTTGCTTCTCTATCTTAAGGCCAGAAATTGCGGCCAGATGATAGTATTCACAACATATGTTGACACGCCGAAACTGTTTTCAAGCCTCGCTTCTCGGTTACCCACGGCCTTGCACGGTTCCCCCCTCCCCTATGCGTCGACGACAGCCTACCATCAGCATTACTTCGCACAACAAACAGGCTCTAGCCTTACCCCGCGTCTCGTTTGCGGCCGCGCGTTATTCACTCTGGGTGACTCGAAAGTCACCTCGAAGTCGACTCAATAACACCACGCGTCATTCCTCCGCAAAATCAACAAGCTCTAGCCTTTTCCCGCGTCTCGCTTAATGCCACACTACAATGCCGGCTATTATTAGACGTCTGCCATGCCGCTTGCGTCACGACAATGCCTCTAGGCACTGTCGTAGCCGCGGGTTTCCGCTTCCACATGGCGGAAGACGCGAGCGCGATCAGCCCCCATTCCTCCGCACTCATTCTCCCCCTCCTGCCCTCCCCCCAGCAACCCCCCTCCCCTTTTCCCCCACGCCCCCACAGGTGGTGAGCCGCGTGATAGAGGGCGTAAGCTTCGCCATCGACACGGCGGACGAGGTGCGCGCCATCAGCGTGAGGCGCATCCGTACTCCTTGTCTTCCCCTTCCCCCTCCCCTGCCTCTACCCTCACAGGTGGTGAGCCGCGTGATAGAGGGCGTAAGCTTCGCCATCGACACGGCGGACGAGGTGCGCGCCATCAGAACCCTCAATCTCCCTTCCCCTTACACTCCCCTTTTCCCCTTCCTCCTCCCCGCTGCAACTCCGCGACCCCCTCCCTCCTTCCTCCCCCACACCCAGGTGGTGAGCCGTGTGATAGAGGGCGTGGGGTTCGGATTCTACACGGCGGACGAGGTGCGCGCAATCAGCGTGAGGCGCATCACCAATCCGCTGCTCTTCGATGGGCTGCGCAGCCCCGCCGCGGGGGGTCTTTACGACCCCGCACTCGGCCCCGTCGATAAATCCGACGTGTAAGCTCATACGGAGGGGTTTTGGCGGGATTTATGGGGGCTAGGGTTGGAAGCATGGGGCTAGGCTTGGGAAAGATGGAGGTGCGCGCCATCAGCGTGAGGCGCATCACCAATCCGCTGCTCTTCGATGGGCTGCGCAGCCCCGCCGCGGGGGGGCTCTATGACCCCGCTCTTGGCCCCGTAGATAAATCGGATGTGTGAGTTTGATTGGAAGGGGTTTTGGGGGGGTTTAGGAGGGACGGAATGCGCAGCCCCGCCGAAGGGGGACTCTACGACCCCGCGCTTAGCCCTGTGGACATATCTGATGTGTAAGCTTATAGGGAGGAGTTCTGGGGAGGTTTATGGGGGCCAGCCAGTGGGGGAAAGGGGGGATGAAGGGGCAGTGCCATCAGCGTGAGGCGCATCACCAACCCGCTCCTTTTCGATGGGCTGCACAGCCCTGCTGCTGGCGGCCTCTATGACCCCGCACTCGGCTCGGCCCTGTCGATAAGTCTGACGTGTGAGTACTTTCGGGTTTTAGGGGGGTTTATGAGGGGGGTTGGGTCTAGGGGGGAAGGGGGCATTTCGGCCACCTGGAGTACTTCCATTGCCCGGGGCATTTCGGCCACCTGGAGCTAACGCTGCCCGTGTACCACCGGCTGCTCTTCAACGTGCTTTCCACTAAACCCTTTCTCTGTCCTCTCCTTAAACCCTACACCTCAACCCCCCTCACAGTTGCGTCACCTGCCAGCTGGGGTACTTCCATTGCCCGGGGCATTTCGGCCACCTGGAGCTGGCACTGCCAGTGTACCACCCGCTGCTTTTCTCCCTGCTTGTGAAGCTGCTGCGCTGCGTGTGCCTGCGCTGCCACCATCTGAAGCTGCTGTCTGCTGTGGTACGTGCTGTTCTTCAGAACCTCCCAGTTAGCCTCCACAATGCCTAAAGTAGGCCGGGCCCCGCAATTCTGGTGCCAGTGTACCACCCGCTGCTCTTCTCCCTGCTCGTGAAGCTGCTGCGCTGTGTGTGCCTGCGCTGCCACCACTTGAAGCTTCTCTCCGCTGTGGTACGCACTCCTCGTCAAAACCTCTAACGTTGGCCTAGCCCTGCAAGCCTGAATGTGCACCACCCGACCCGCTGCCTTTCTCCCTGCTCGTCAAGCTGCTGCGCTGTGTGTGCCTGCGCTGCCACCACTTGAAGCTGCTCTCCGCCGTGGTACGTATTCCCCTTCGCAAACCCAGGCTTGTCAGGGTTAAGCTAGGCCCCCTGCCCGTGTCGTGTACCATCCGCTGCTCTGCCCCCTGCTCGTGAAGCTGCTGCGCTGTGTGTGCCTCCCACCCCACCCCACCCCACCCCGCCCCACGCTGCCCCACCCCACCCCACCCCACCCCACCCCACCCCACCCCAGCCCAGCCCAGCCCAGCCCAGCCCAGCCCAGCCCAGCCCAGCCCACCCCACCCCACCCATCCATTGTGTGCAGTCGAAGCTGTATGCGCTGCGCCTGGCGCTCATCGCCCAGGGGCGGCTGAGGGAGGCGCAGGAGCTGGGACGGCCTATTGGGTTAAAACTTAAAACCCTCCACTCCACCCCCCTCCACCACCCAACCCCCACGTGTGCAGTCGAAGCTGTATGCGCTGCGGCTGGCGCTCATCGCCCAGGGGCGGCTGAGGGAGGCGCAGGAGCTGGGGCAGAAAATGCCCCCCAAGGCCAAGCGCAGAGGGTGGGGCAAGGGGAATGGGAAAGGAAAGGGCGGAGAAGGAGGGGGGTTAGGGGGAGGAAAAGGAGGAGCAAAGGCTGTATATGTGGCTGGACCAGCAGGGGCTGTAGATGATGAGGATGATGAGGATGAGGAGGAGGTTGAGGAGGGGGAGAAAGAAGCACAGGAGATGGATATTGATGGGTCCTGGAAAGCGGAGGCTGAGAAAGCTGCTGCTGCCGGGGAAGTCGAGGAGGGGGATGTGATGGGGGAAGGGGAAGGGGGAGGGGGAGGGGAGGAGAGGTGGTCGTGGGCGGCAGAGGTGGCGGCGAGGGAGGTGGTGCGGGAGCTGTGGAGTGTGGTGCCGCCCTCCAAGTGCCAGAACTGCTTTGCCAACAACCCCAGCGTCAAGCGGGAGGGCCACAGCAAGATCTTCCGAGTATGTGGCATGATGGTTGGGATATTAAGGTTTGGAGTTTCAGAGTGCAGGGTTTAGGGTTTCGGGTTCTGAGATCCATAGTTCAGGGTTTGAAGTTCCAAGGTGAAGGGTTTCGGGTTTGGGGTTTTAAGATCCAGGGTTTAGGGTTTGGAGTTTCAAGGGGCGGCACATGTGGTGGCAAGGGAGGTGGTGCGGGAGCTGTGGAGTGTGGTGCCGCCCTCCAAGTGCCAGAACTGCTTTGCCAACAACCCCAGCGTCAAGAGGGAGGGCCACAGCAAGATCTTCCGAGTATGTCTGGCTATCTGGTGTTGGGGGGTTCGGTTAGGGTTTGGGGTTGAAGGGTTTGGGAAGAGTTTAGGCTCCCTCCTACCTACTGCCACCCACACCACATTCCCCGCTTTGAGTCCTTCCGAAGCTGCTGTTGGCGAAGCAGCAGCGGAATGACTTGTGGGGCTTCACCTTTCCGCTACCACCCAATTCCACCTCCCCACCCCCCAATTCCGCCTCACCATCCCCCGTTTCCACCTCCCCACTATTTCAGAAACCTCTGGCAGTGAAGCCGCAGCTTCCCACTCCTCAGTTCCATCTCTCGCTCCCCGATCCCCTTCCTTGACTCCGTTTTATTCCCTTTTTCAGAAACCTCTGGCGGTGAAGCCGCAGCACCAGAACGACCTGAACGGGTTCACCTTCCCAGAGACACACCCTCCTCCTCACCACCAACCCACCCACCTCCCTTTTGCTCCCCATTTCCCCCCTTCACCCACATTTGAAACCCCTGGCGGTGAAGCCGCAGCACCAGAACGACCTGAACGGGTTCACCTTCCCAGAGACACACCCTCCTCCTCACCACCAACCCACCCACCTCCCTTTTGCTCCCCATTTCCCCCCTTCACCCACATTTGAAACCCCTGGCGGTGAAGCCGCAGCACCAGAACGACCTGAACGGCTTCACCTTCCCAGAGACACACCCTCCTCCTCACCACCAACCCACCCACCTCCCTTTTGCTCCCCATTTCCCCCCTTCACCCACATTTGAAACCCCTGGCGGTGAAGCCGCAGCACCAGAACGACCTGAACGGCTTCACCTTCCCAGACGTGCTGGCAGAAGCCGCAGCTTCCAGCAAGGACCCAGCAGACATCAACATCGGGCCGGGTGGCGAACTCCGGAGCTACACCGTGGACGGAAACGGAGGCGGAGAAAAAGGCGTTAGGAGGAGGGGCAGAGCTGGCAGAAACCGCAGCTTCTCACACCTCACTTCCACCCACCCCTCCCTCCCATTCCCCCATTGGCTCTCCCAGAAACCTCTGGCAGTGAAGCCGCAGCACCAGAACGACTTGAACGGATTCACCTTCCCAGACGTGCTCGCAGAGCTGGCTGGCAGAGGCTGCAGCTTCCCACTCCTCAGTTCCAACTTCCATCCACCTCTCTCTCCCCATTCCCCCCTTGACTTTCCCAGAAACCTCTGGCAGTGAAGCCGCAGCACCCCTTTCCAGACGTGCTGGCAGAGCTGGCAGAAGCCGCAGCTTCCGGTAACGACCCCGCAGACATCAACATCGCACCGGACGGGGAACACCTGAGCTACACCGTGGACGGAAACGGAGGCGGAGGAGAACGACTTGCGGGGCTTCACCTTTCCGCTACCACCCAATTCCACCCCCCACCCCCCATTTCCGCTTCCCCACTCTTTCAGAAACCTCTGGCATTGAAGCCGCAGCACCAGAACGACCTGAACGGATTCACCTTTCCAGACGTGCTGGCAGAGCTGGCCGAAGCCGCAGCTTCCGGTAACGACCCCGCAGACATCAACATCGCACCGGACGGGGAACTCCTGAGCTACACCGTGGACGGCAACGGAAGCGGAGAAAAACGCATGTTGCTGAGGGAAGAGGAGGACAGCGACGACGAGATGGTGGCTGCCGCAGCAGCGAAGCGGAAGCGGGGGAAGGGAGGAGGAGGAGTGGGAGAGGCGGGGACGAGGCGGCCGTTTCTGATGAACGTGGCGGAGGTGGAGGAGCATTTGAGAAGGCTGTGGATCCGCGAACCCGCCATCTGCAACGCTCTCTTCGGCTCCTCCGCTCTCTCCTCCTCCTCCTCCCACTCCCACCCCCACTCCTCCGGCCGCTCCGGCCACTCGGCCTTCCCTGCAGGGATGTCCCCGTACCATCATAAGCTGTACTACGGGCAGCAGCAGGGCTCGGGGCAGCATGGGGGCGGTGTTGGGGCGGCGACTTGGCCGTCTGCGTTCTTCCTGCGCTGCCTGCTCGTGCCGCCCAACAAGTTCCGCCCCCCCAACATGATGAACGATATGGTGGGCTGGGCTGCTTGCTTGCTTGCTGCTGGGTCCTGCTTCTATGGGGATGAATGTGCATGGAGCTGACTGTGCATGGAGCTGACTGTGCATGGAGCTGACTATTGTCTTCCTGCGCTGCCTGCTACTGCCGCCCAACAAGTTCCGTCCTCCCAACATGATGAACGATATGGTGAGCTGGCTGGTTGATGCGCCCTTGCTTCCATGGGGTTGAATGCGCATGAAGATGAATGTGCATCTTCGAGACTTCTTCCCCTCCATCCCCTCCTCTTGCCCTCTCCCTCCTCAGTTGCTGGAGCACGCGCAGAACGTCTTTCTCACAAAAATCCTTGAAGCCAACCTCTTCACCACTCAGATCGGCCGAGACGCCTCAAGACAATTCCTTTTCGAACCCAAAACACCTAACTTTCTCTTCCCTTCCCTCCTCCCCCTCTCTCTCCTCCCCCCACCAGTTGCTGGAGCACGCGCAGAACGTCTTTCTCACGAAAATCCTTGAAGCCAACCTCTTCATCACCCAGATCGGCCGAGAGGCCGCCGCCACTGCTGCCGCCACTGCCGCCGGTAACGCTGCTACAGGTGCAGGCGCTGGCACTGCTGGTGCTGGTGCTGAGGGTGAGGGGGGCGGTCAGCAGCTGGCGAAGCTGGTGTATACGGTGGGGGTGGATGGCGGAGGGGGAGCGGCGGCGGAGGGGGCGGATATAGGTGCGACGGAAGTGAGGAAGGCGGCGATTGCGTGGCTGCAGCTGCAGCACCACGTGAACTGCTTCCTGGACAGCAGCCTGAGTGAGTGGTTATGGGAAGGAATGTATCGCCTGGTGTCACCTGCTGTCACGTCGCTTCCCCTCTCACCAACCAACGCATGTGCAGTCTTGCAGAGGGACCCAGCAAACGGCATACGGCAGCAGCAGCTGGAGAGGAAGGAGGGGCTGTTCTGTCTGCTGCCATTAACACATGCCATTCCTCCCCTGCGCCCCTTCCAACCCCGTCCAACGCCATTCAACTCCTCACCCCCCGTTTCCCCACCAACGCATGTGCAGGCTCACAGAAGGACCCGGCGAACGGCATTCGGCAGCAGCTGGAGAGGAAGGAGGGGCTGTTTCGAATGAACATGATGGGCAAGCGAGTCAACTATGCCTGCCGCTCCGTCATCTCGCCTGACCCCTACATCCAGGTGGGCACTCGTCTGGCCTGACACCCTGCCATGTCACCACCACCCTGCCATGTCACGACCACCCTGCCCCCTTTTTTAGTCTTTCTTTTTACCGAATAACATGATGCTGCATTTAAATCCACCCCCCACACTGCATTGCACCCCACCCCCCAACCACACTGCATTGCACCCCACCCCCCAACCACACTGCATTGCACCCCGCCCCACACTGCTTTGCCCGAATAAAATCAAATCAGGTGAACGAGATCGGAGTGCCGCCCGTCTTTGCCAAGCGACTCACATACGCTGAGGTAAGCAGATGGTGAAATTGAGGTATGCTGAGGTAAGCAGATGGTGAAATTGAGGTATGCTGAGGTAAGCAGATGGTGGAAAGTGAGATATGCTCAGGTAGTGAAACAAAGGTATCTTCTCTCTGGTAAGCAGATGTTACCTTCCCTTTTGTTACAGGCACAGGGTAGTGTACTGAGCTATGCTCGGGTAAGCAGATGTCACGGGTGACGAGGTTAGCAGGTGTCGCGTCACCTACACTGCAGCTGCAGGTTGCAGATGTTAATCGACAATTTCCCTTTCCGGGCCCTCCCCGCTTCCCCACCCCCTTCCTTCCGGCGCGCCTCCCACTCCAGATGGTAACGGATTGGAACGTGGAGTATCTGGCAAGGCTGGTGGAGAACGGGGCGGATGTGCTGCCGGGAGCCACACACGTGGAGGACGAGAGGGGGCAGCTCGTCTCCCTCGCCCACCTCAACCCCGACCACCGCAGAGCGCTCGCCCGCATGCTCTGCTGCTGGTCTCCACCCCCCTCCTTATTACCGTGCCGTCTCCTCTCCTTTCCATGCTCCCACCTATTTGCCCGCTCCCCTTTCGCCTTCCGAACCAGACGGTAACGGACTGGAACGTGGAGTATCTGGCAAGGCTGGTGGAGAACGGGGCGGATGTGCTGCCGGGTGCCACACACGTGGAGGACGAGAGGGGGCAGCTCGTCTCCCTCGCCCACCTCAACCACCACCGCCACCGAGCGCACTTTCTCACACTCCTGCCCACCCCTCTGCTGCTGCTCTCCACCCCTTTGCCCCAATGCCCCCTCTCCTTTCCACTGTCTCCTCTCCTTCCCACCGTCCCTCCTCCCCCGCCCCGCACCACCTACCCCCTTACCACCTTCCGTACCAGACGGTGACAGACTGGAACGTGGAGTATCTAGCCAGACTGGTGGAGAACGGGGCGGATGTTCTCCCCCTGCGCCCCACCCCCTGCGCCCCACGCCCTCTGGCCCCCCTCCACCAGACGGTGACAGACTGGAACGTGGAGTATCTAGCCAGACTGGTGGAGAACGGGGCGGACGTGTTACCAGGAGCCACCCACGTGGAGGACGAGAGGGGGCAGCTCGTCTCCCTCGCCCACCTCAACCCCGACCGCCGCCGAGCGCTCGCACGCACGCTGCTCTCCACGCCCTCTGCTGCTGCGCTCGCGGCCAATCAGCGCGCGACAGGTGTCCACGTGAAGGACGGCGAGGGCAAGAAGGGGGGAGGGGAGGGAGCGGCGGCGGAGGGGAAGGGGGTGCATGTGCGGCGCGCGATGGTGAAGTCGGTGTATCGGCACATGAGGGATGGCGATGTGGTGCTGGTGAACCGACAGGTAAGGGAAATGTGCACATGAGAGAGACTTGATTTCTGCATTGGGGGCAAGGTGAGGTTCGAAACGACTTTAACACGCGATGGTGAAGTTGGTGTATCGGCATATGAGGGATGGCGATGTGGTGCTGGTGAACCGACAGGTGAGAGAGATACACAAGGTGTGTGGTGTGGCATTGTGGCATTGTGGCATTGTGGTGAGCTCTGATTCGACTCCAACATGCGATGGTGAAGTCGGTGTGTATGAGGGACGGAGATGTGGTGGTGCTTGTTAACCGGCAGGTGAGACTGAGAGAACTGGGGTTCTGCTTCTTCTCCAACGGTGGTTAACCAACGAGCAGAACGCATGGTTAACACCAACGAGCGTTCTCTCCTCCCTGTCTCTCCCCCCATCGCACACTGCAAGAAACCAACGTGCACTCCCCTCTCCCCTCAAGTTCTCTTCCCCAACACGTTTTGTTCAGCCTCCGTCCATCTTTCCCTCTCTCCGATTATCCTCTTCCTTCTCACTCCACTTTCGCCCCCTTCTTGTTGCGCCCTCTTCTCCCCTACTTTTTCTCCCTTCTTGTTGCGCCCTCCTTCCTCTCGCCTGACCTACGTTGCTCCATTCTTTGTCCCTTCTTTTCCCCTCTTGTCTCCCTCTCTCCCTACAGCCCACGCTGCATCGCCCAGGCATCATGGCGCATCGAGTGAAGATCCTGAAGGGGGAAAATACCCTTTGCCTGACTCACACTCAAAACTCCTTTCTCCCTGATTCCTCTCCCTGCTTCCTCCTCTCCCCCTACAGCCCACGCTGCATCGCCCGGGCATCATGGCGCATCGAGTGAAGATCCTCAAGGGGGAGAAGACCCTGCGGCTGCACTATGCCAACTGCAAGTGAGTCTCCACCTGACAGCTTCGATCCCTCTCACAGAGCGTGTGCGTATGTGCTGTCAATCACAGTGCATGTGCAAAGCTTGTGGAACATACCCCTCTGTCTCCACTCCACCCCCCGTCACCCTCCTTCACCACTCTTCGCCCCCCCTTCACCCCCCGTCGCCCCCCTTCACCCCTTGCCACCCCTCGTCACCGCAGTGTGTACAACGCTGACTTTGACGGGGACGAGATGAACGTGCATCTGCCTCAGGACGCTCTGGGGCGAGCAGAAGCGTACTCGATAGTAGACGCTGACTTACAGTACATACTGCCCACCAACGGCCTGCCTGCTCGAGGGCTCATTCAGGTTAGGGTTCAGCTGGGGAAGGTTGTATCTGTGTGGCTTGAGGGGTGTCACTGTGTTTTCAGCAAAGTCCCTCAGGTGAAACGTACTCGATAGTAGGTGCTGACTTACAGTACATACTGCCCACCCACCAACGGCCTGCCTGCTCGAGGGCTCATTCAGGTTAGGGTTCAGCTGGGGAAGGTTGTATCTGTGTGGCTTGAGGGTTTTCACTGTGCTGCTGACACACATCTTCGTTTTTAGTGAACTCGAGTTACAGTATACACTGCCCAGTGCCCACCAACTCACCTCACCCGGCACACACTCCTCACCTGGACCGAGTTCCAGCAGCCCCTCTTCTCCGCCTGCCCACGCCTGCCCATTCACATGTCTTTCCCCGTCTCCCCTCTGCTTACTCTCCCTTCCACACTTTATCCCATCAGGACCACATTATCGCAGCCACTCTCCTCACCTCGCCCGGCACGCTCCTCACGCGCACCGAGTTCCAGCACCTGCTCTTCTCTGCCTGCATCCCACCCCCAGACACCCCCTTCCAAGCCCCCCCTGCCAAACCCGCCGCGGCTCCTGCTCCTGCTGCTGGTGCAACGACTGTTGCTGATGGTGCCACTGCACCCGTGGGGCCTGCTGCTGCTGCTGCTGCTCCCGCCACTGCTGATGGTGCAGCTGCTGCCGGTGGTGCTGATGCAGCTGCTGCTGCCGCTGCCAATGCTCCTCCGGCTGATGGTGCCACTGCTACCGCCACCACCACCACCGTCCCTCCAGGCACCACGACTGGTGCAGACAACCCAGCAGGCACGGCAGCAGCAGCGCCCAGGAGGATCCGCGCTCTCCCTGATGCCGGTGCTGCCATCACCATGCCGCACCCTGCTGTCGTGAAGCCGCAACCGCTGTGGACTGGCAAGCAGGTGAACGAGGGGAGAGCGGTTGAGAGGGGGGAGGAGGGGAGGTTGGGGAGGGAGAGCAGGTGAGCGTGGAGGGAGCAGGGGAGGGTGGGGAGCAGGGGAGGGTGGGGAGCAGGGGAGGGTGCTGGCCGGAGGGGCAGCAACTGCTGAAGTGTTTATCTCACCTTTCACAGCAGTTTCTGCAGGAGGGGCGCCATGATCACCTTTCTCCTCTGTCTTCGCTCCTATCCTCTGCTCCTCCTGCCCCCCCTCCTGCTCCCCTGCTCCCAGGTAATCACGCACGGCGCTGCTACAGCTGCTGGCCAGAGGGGCAGCAGCCACTGACCATGGAGGTGCACTTTGAAACAGGCGCCCTTTTCACCTCTTCTTCTCCCCTTCTCCGCTTCCGTGCTCCCCTCTCCCGTCTCCCTCCCCACTCCTGTCCTACTCCCCTTTTCTGCTCCACAGGTAATCACGGCGCTGCTACAGCTGCTGACGGAGGGGCAGCAGCCAATGACAATGGAGGTGGCGTGCAAGGTGTCGGCACGCTATTGGGGGAAGGGGCGGCAGGAGGACGCGACACTGCGGGTGAGTAGGCAGCTGCAGAGGTAGAGGGCTAGTAGATGGGAGAACAATGCGCCTCTGCTGCTGGTGAGCAGCTTTTTGTCCGATAACACACAATTACATACATCCTCCCTCACATTCTGCTGCACAAATAATCACCCCTCCCGATTACACCAGGTGCAAGGAGGCGTGGTGGTAACAAGCGTGTAACGTGTTTGACAAGGCGCAGTTCGCCCACTACGGTCTCGTGCACTGCTTCTCTACGGCTGCCCTGCTGCTCCTCATGCTGCTGCCACCGCTGCTACTGCTGCTGCTGCTGCCACCGCTGCTACTGCTGCTGCTGCTGCCACCGCTGCTACTGCTGCTGCTGCTGCTGCCACCGCTGCTACTGCTGCTGCTGCTGCCACCGCTGCTACTGCTGCTGCTGCTGCCACCGCTGCTACCGCTGCTGCTGCTGCCACCGCACCTGCTGCTGCTGCTGCTGCCACCGCACCTGCTGCTGCTGCTGCTGCTGCCACCGCACCTGCTGCTGCTGCTGCTGCCACCGCACCTGCTGCTGCTGCTGCTGCTGCCACCGCACCTGCTGCTGCTGCTGCTGCCACCGCACCTGCTGCTGCTGCTGCTGCTGCTGACACCGCACCTGCTGCTGCTGCTGCTGCTGCCACCGCACCTGCTGCTGCTGCTGCTGCTGCCACCGCACCTGCTGCTGCTGCTGCTGCTGCTGCTGCTGCTGCCACCGCACCTGCTGCTGCTGCTGCTGCCACCAGACCCCGCTGCTGCTATTACCGCTGCAACCACTGCTGCTGCTGCTGCTGACGCTTCTGCACCCTTTCCCCCACCCTCCTATCCCACCAGGTGCGGGGCGGCGAGGTGGTGACGGGAGTGTTTGACAAGGCGCACTTCGCCCGCTACGGCCTCGTGCACTGCTTCCAGGAGCTCTACGGCTGCCCTGCTGCTGCTCATGCCGCTCATTCTCTCACCGCACCCCCCCTCTGCTGCTACCGCTGCTCCTGCTGCTGCTGCTGCTGCTGCTGCTGCTGCTGCTGCTGCTGCTGCTGCTGCTGCTGCTGCTGCTGCTGCTGCTGCTGCTGCTGCTGCTGCTGCTGCTCCTGCTGCTGCTGCTGCTGCTGCTGCTGCTGCTGCTCCTGCTGCTGCTGCTCCTGCTGCTGCTGCTGCTGCTGCTGCTGCTGCTCCTGCTGCTGCTGCTGCTGCTCCTGCTGCTGCTGCTCCTGCTGCTGCTCCTGCTGCTGCTGCTGCTGCTGCTGCTGCTGCTGCTGCTGCTGCTGCTGCTGCTGCTGCTGCTGCTGCTGCTGCTGCTGTTGCTGCTGCTGCCAACCCCACTCCCCCCACCACCACCTACCCATCCCACCAGGTGCGGGGCGGCGAGGTGGTGACGGGGGTGTTTGACAAGGCGCAGTTCGCCCGCTACGGCCTCGTGCACTGCTTCCAGGAGCTCTACGGCTGCCCTGCTGCCGGGAAGCTGCTCTCCTCCCTCAGCCGCCTTCTCACCACCTTCCTGCAGGTAAGAGCTTAATCTTAATATTAGTATTGTTTTTATTACTTTGGTGTGTGTGTGCCAGTGGTGGTCCTGCGGGCAATTTTCTGCTCTTCCATATCCGTAGTTATATCGACATGGTGAGCAATCTGTATGGCTCTTCCCTCCTCCCACCTCACTCTCCGCCTCAGATCCGCGTGTTCACCTGCGGGGTGGGCGATTTGCTGCTGACACATGTCTTTGACCCCCCACCTGGTTTCCCCCCTTACACTACCGCACCCCTCCCCAACCCTCATCTATTTTTCAGATCCGCGGGTTCACCTGCGGGGTGGGCGATCTGCTGCTGACAGCCCCGGCAGAGGCGGAGCGGGAGGCAATCATATCACGCGCGGACAGCATTGGGGATCCTGTGCACGCTCAGTTTGTGGGGCTCACCGGGATGAATGCCGAGAGTGAGTCGAATTTTCACGCAGTCATGTGTTGACTGCGCAAGCATATCTCTGGCAGAAAGCATTGGGGACTCCGTGCACGCTCAGTTTGTGGGGCTCACGGGGAAGAGGGCCAAAAGTGAGCTGGTCAGTAGTTTCAGATTCGTTACAAGAGGGCATGGGAATTTTCAGTGAGCATTCGGGTATTCCTATTGAGTGCACCCGCATGGGACCCTGTGCGCGCTCAGTTCGCGGGGTTCACCAAATGACGGCCGCCCTGAGCAAGGTCACCACCGCCGCAACCTCCGCGCTCTCTCAGTCACCCCAACTCCCCTTCCTTTCCCCTTCCGTTCCTTTGCCCTTTGCCCCCCCCTTCCCTTCCTCTTTTCCAATCCCCCTCCCATTTTTTCTTCCCCTTTCCCCCCTGTCCTTTTCCGTCCCCTTCCCCTTTCCTATCCAATCCACCTTCCTTCCCCCTTGGCTGTTTTTGCAGCTGCGAACAAGGAGTGGGTGAGGGAGCACGTGGCACTGCAGCTGCGCACGCGGAAAGACGCCGCCACAGCCGCCCTCGACAACCGGATGACCTCCGCCCTCAGCAAGGTCACCACCGCCGCAACATCCGCCGCGCTGCCCGACGGGCAGCTGAAACCTTTCCCAGCCAATTGCATGTCGCTGATGACGGTCACGGGCGCCAAGGGCAGCGGCGTGAATTTCAACCAGATTGCGGTGCTGCTGGGGCAGCAGGAGCTGGAGGGGAAGCGCGTGCCAAGGATGGCGTCGGGGAAGACTCTGCCTTGCTTTGAGGCGTGGAGCAGCGAGGCCAGAGCGGGGGGGTTCATTGCCGATAGGTTTTTGACGGGGCTGCGCCCGCAGGAGTACTACTTTCACTGCATGGCTGGCAGAGACGGGTGAGTGCGTGAATGCTGGTTGATGCAGTGAGAAGGGTCAGAGAGAAGGAGCAGGTGAGAGGTGGTGCTGCTGGGGCAGCAGGAGCTGGAGGGGCGGTGGGTGCCAAGAATGGCGTCGGGGAAGACTCTGCCTTGCTTTGAGGCGTGGAGCAGCGAGGCCCGGGCTGGGGGTTTTATTGCGGATCGGTTTCTTACTGGGTTGCGCCCACAGGAGTACTACTTTCACTGCATGGCAGGCAGAGACGGGTGAGTGAGCGAGCGAGTGATGAGCGAGCGAGTGAGTGAGTGAGTGAGTGTGTGAGCGAGTGAGCGAGTGCTGTGTGTGGTGTGGTCCTGTAGTGCTGTCACTGCTGGGGCAGCAGGAGCTGGAGGGGCGGTGGGTGCCAAGGATGGCGTCGGGGAAGACTCTGCCTTGCTTTGAGGCGTGGAGCAGCGAGGCCCGGGCTGGGGGTTTTATTGCGGATCGGTTTCTCACTGGATTGCGGCCGCAGGAATATTACTTTCACTGCATGGCTGGCAGAGACGGGTGAGTGCGAGCGTGGTGCTTGTTGGTTGATGCATTGAGAATGGGCAGTGAGAGGGAGCAGGTGAGAGCTGAGTTGGTGCTGCTGGGGCAGCAGGAGCTGAGACAGGTGAGTGAGTGAGTGAGTGAGTGGGTCCCTGCCTCCCGTTCCTATCTTTCCCCCACTTATCCCTTCAAACCCCAGCCTTGTGGACACGACAGTCAAAACACCCTGCAGTGGGTGGGTACCTGCAGCGGGTATCTGTCTGGTGAAGAACCTGGCTGGAGGGGCTGGCTGGCTGGCTGGCTGGCTGGCTGGCTGGCTGAGGGTGCACTACGACACGACTACAGCGTGCGGGACGTGCTTTTGATGCCCTGTCTCTCTGCCCTCCGTTCCTGTATTCTTCCCTCCACTTACCCCATAACCCCCAGCCTTGTGGACACGACAGTCAAGACCTCTCGCAGTGGGTACCTGCACTGCAGCGGTGTCTGGTGAAGAACCTGGAGGGGCTGAGAGTGCACTACAACTACAGCGTGCAGGACAGCTACTGACTCTATCATCTTCCCTCATCATCCCTGCACTCCCTCTCCTCTCCTGTTGTCTCCCTTTTTCCCTTGTAGGCTCGTGGACACGACTGTCAAGACCTCCCGGAGTGGATACCTGCAGCGGTGCCTGGTGAAGAACCTGGAGGGGCTGAGGGTGCACTACGACTACAGTGTGAGGGACAGCGATGCGTCCATCGTGCAGTTCCGATACGGGGAGGATGCCATCGACACCAGCCGGACGTCCTTCCTCACCAACTTTGAGTTTATTAAGGAGGTGCGTTGAGCTGTGGTGTGGTGTGGTGCGGTGTGGTGCGGTGTGGTGCAGTGTGGTGAGGTGCGGTGTGGTGTGGTGATACGCATATTTGCATATTTCGTATATTTGCAGGCGTATATACGCGATATGCCCACCCCCCAAGGGCGTATCTGCCATCATAGCGTGCAGCCACAGGCACACGCAAAACCCATGCTCATTCAATCACTCATTCCCTCTCCCCATTCCTCCCTCTCCTGTGTGGCACCCCTGGGAACCTGGAAACCTGAACTGAAACCTCCCAACAGAACGAGCAGCAGGTGGCATCGGCCCTCCGCTTGGACGAAGCTAAGGCTCTCGGCCTCGAGGCAAAGCCACCCCGTGCAACTGCCACTGACCCAACACACCCCACCCCTCCCCTATCTGAAACACTGAAATTTCCAAACAACAGAATGAGCAGCAGGTGGCATCAGCCCTCCGCTTGGACGAGGCCAAGGCTCTCGGCCTCGAGACAATGCCTCCCCGCGCCACTGCAGCTGACCCAACAAGCCCGTCCCTCCCTTGTATGAAACCCCTGAAACCCTGTTAACCCCATCAAACAGAACGAGCAGCAGGTGGCATCGGCCCTTCGCTTGGACGAAGCCAAGGCTCTCGGCCTCGAAACCATTCCTCCCCGCACCACTTCGGACCCAGCAGCAGCAGCAACAGAGGCAGCAGAGGTGATGGATTTGGAGTGTCCAGGATCGAAGCTCGGGGTTGTTTCCCCCGCCTTTGAAGCTGCTTCCGAGAAGTTTCTGCAGTCGGCGGTTCTGGGGAAGGGTGCGAAGGGAGCCGGGAAGAAGGGGAAGAAGAAGGATGCAGAGCGGTTGAGAGAGGTGCTGGAGATGAAGTATCTGGCGTCTACTGTGCAGCCAGGGGAGCCGGTGGGGGTGCTGGCGGCTCAGTCGGTTGGAGAGCCCTCCACACAAATGACGTGAGTGCTGAGGCATAGGCACCACTGCAGTGGACTGCACCACACTTGCAACGCACCGCATTGCACTGCACCACACCACACTGTACTGCACCCACCGCACCACACCACACCGCACTTCACCGCTACGCACCCTTCCCACATCAGGCTGAACATGTTCATGGTGGGACGAAGCGAACATGACTCTTGGGACTAGATAGATGGTTGCATTGCCAGACATGGTTCTTTCTTGCAATCCATTCCAAACGAATAGTCTAGTTTTGAGGCGCCTAGTTTTGAGGCGCTTAAAAATATGACTCTTGGGAGTAGATGGTTGCCTGCCACTGCCACACATGGTTCTTTCTTACAATCCATTCCCTCTATCACACATTTCCCATTCCACACAACCCTCCTCCTTCCACGCCAGGCTGAACACGTTTCACTTTGCAGGGCGAGGAGAGGCGAATGTGACTCTGGGGATTCCCGTTTGTTTCAGAGACCCTTTGAGTCAGCAGAGCCACTCCTCTCTTGCATCTCACCCTTTACCCTTCCCGCGATCCCATTCTTGTCATTCCCCCCCAACCCCAGGCTGAACACGTTTCACTTTGCAGGGCGAGGAGAGGCAAATGTGACTCTGGGCATTCCCCGCCTGCGAGAAATCCTCATGACGGCTGCGCGCAACATCTCCACGCCTGTCATGGACTGCCCTCTGCTGCCCGGCCGCACCCTGTGAGTGTGTTGTTGGTCCTTAGTGAGTCTCTCTAAGTGCGTCTATGAGGCCATGCCCCTTGCTGCCTCGCAACATCTCCACGCCTGTCATGGACTGCCCTCTGCTGCCCGGCCGCACCCTGTGAGTCCTTTGCTGCGGAATTCTCTCTGAGTTCGCCTGTGGAGCTATATATGCCCCTCACAACATCTCCACGCCTGTCATGGACTGCCCTCTGCTGTCCGGCCGCACCCTGTGAGTGTGTTGTTGGTTCTTTGTGAGCCTATCTGAATGTGTCTGTGAGGGCATGCCCCTTATTTCCGCGCAACATCTCCACCCCTGTCATGGACTGCCCTCTGCTTCCCGGCCGCACCCTGTGAGTGGTTCAGTAGGTCATGTGGTGAGGCCCGTTGCTTCACACTTATGAAAATTTTCTACTTCTAGAATACCCGTCCCTTCGCTTGTGAGTCGATGTGTGAGTGTAGCATCGTCAGCCCGTTTCCTTCCACCCCCCTCCACCCCCTTCCACCTCCTTCCACCCCCTTACACCCCCTTCCAACCCCTTCCACCGCCTTGCACCCCGTTCTACCTCCTTCCACCGCCCTCCACCTCCTTCCCTCCAGTGAGGACGCCCAGCGCATAGCCAACAAGCTCCGTCGGATCACAATGGCCGAGCTCATCTCAGCCATCCATGTGTCGGAGCGCACAGATCTGGTGCAGATCAACGGTGGAGATCGCAACTCGAGGCGCTACTTCATCCGCCTGGCCTTCCACCCCACCAGCCGCTACCCTGCCGAACTTGAGCTTAAGTTCGAAGAAATCAAGGCCGCGTTCAGTTACGAGTTTGCTCCCAGGGTCGGGAAAGATCTTGAGAGAGCTTTGGATCGGGCCGGGGGTGGGGGAGTGGTGGTTATGGCTGAGGGGCGTGGGGAGAAAGAAGGGGGTGAAGGAGAAGGGGAGGAAGGGGAGGGGGAAGGGGAGGTGGAGGGGAAGAGGAAAGGAGGGAAGAAGGGCGGGATGGTTGATGGGGAAGCGGAGGAAGAGGAGGAAGAGGAGGAGGGAGGGGAGGAGGATGGGAAGGATGCTGAGAAGGAGCGCGGGCAGGGGGATGATGAACAGGAATATGAGGAGGAAGAAGAGGAGGAAGACGAGGAAGAGGAGGAGGAGGAGGAAGAGGAGGAAGAGGAAGTGGCGGAGGGAGAGGAGGGGGTGGAGCAGGCAGAGGGGGAGGGTAAGGGCTCTGCTAAGAGAGGGCCCGGTAGTGCTGGTAAAGTAAAGGTGGAGGAGGAGGAAGAGGAGGAAGAAGAGGAGGAAGAGGTAGAAGAAGAGGAGGAGGAGGAGGAAGAAGAGGAGGTGGGAGCGGGTAAAGCAGCTGCTGCAGAATCAGCAGGAGCAGCAGCAGCAGGAGGGAAGGGGAGGACGAAGAGGGATAGCAAGGCAAAGAAGACGAAGAAGAAAGGGGAGAAAGGGGCGGAGCAAGAGGGGGAGACAAAGAAGAAGAAGAAGAAGAAGAGGAAGGGAAAGCAGGTGGCGGTGGCGACGGTGACAGGTGGCGACACGTGGATGCAGATGGAGCTGTCGGTGCCGGTGACATCACCCGCTGTTCTCATCCATGAGGTGAGCTCTGTTTCAGGCGCATTTGAGGCTCCTTTTGAGGAGCCTTGTGAGGCACCCTCTGAATTGAAGCGCCTTTTGAGGCACCTCACAAAAGGTGGATGCAGATGGAGCTGTCAGTGCCGGTGATGTCACCCGCTGTGCTCATCCAAGAGGTGAGAGGTTCTGAAACCCGACCTTACAACGAGCTGAGAGTTTGTGCTGAGAATGTGCCGTATGTATGAGGAGCCTCAAAAAGGGTGGATGCAGATGGAGCTGTTGGTGCCGTTGCTCATCCATGAAGTGAAAGATTGTGCTTATAACGAGGTGATGTGGTGCTTGTGGTTTGGTGACTCTCTGGTTCAATGCGAGGTTTTGTGATTGTGACCAGTTCCCTCTTTTGCCCAACCCCAATTCTCCACCCACGCTCAGATCGTAGATAAGGTGGCAGCAGCAGTGGTGGTGCGGGCCAGATTGGGAGTGCAGCGCTGTGCTGTGCTGTCCTTGGCCCAGCATTTCTCAGCATGCTATGCCAAGTCACTAGAATCGCCTCGTCCCGCTGTCCCAATCACCATCTCTCACCCTTTCTCCCAATTCACAATCTATCACACCCTCTATCTCTCTCTCTCCAGATTGTTGACAAGGTAGCAGCAGCAGTGGTGGTGCGGGCCACACCGGGAGTGCAGCGGTGCGCTGCCTTGGAGCCAGCATCCCCAGGCCAGCCCCCCCGCATCCAAGTCGAGGGGCTCAACTTCCCAGGCCTCTGGAACCTCATTTTCCAACATACTACGCCGCATCTCTGGAACCTCATTCCCCGGCCTCAGGAACCTCGCCGCTGCAACCATGGGAGAGCATGATGACGAAGGGGTACTCGATCTGACGTTACTGAAACCGCCGCGTCCCCCAATCAGCATCCCTCGTTCCTTCCTCCCAAACCCCACCCCGTCGCCCACTCTCTCTCCAGATTGTTGACAAGGTGGCAGCAGCAGTGGTGGTGCGAGCAACCCCGGGAGTGCAGCGATGCGCTGCTCTCGAGCCAGCATCCCCAGGCCAGCCCCCCCGCATCCAAGTCGAGGGGCTCAACTTCCCAGGCCTCTGGAACCTCGCAGTATCAACCATGGGGAAGCACGATGACGAAGGGGTACTCGATCTGAATCGCATGACGACGAATCACATCGCGGCGGTTCTGACGACGCTTGGAGTGGAGGCGGCGCGTGCGACGATCGTGAAGGAGGTTCGGGGCGTGTTCGGGATGTACGGGATCGCGGTGGATCCGAGGCATTTGGGTCTGATTGCGGATTTTATGACGTATGATGGCGGTTACCGCGCGTGTAATCGTAATGGGATTGACGCGAACCCGTCGCCGATTTTGAAGATGAGCTTTGAGACGGCGACCAAGTTTTTGATTAATGCGGCGTCGAAAGGGCAGACTGACAGAATGGAGTCTCCGTCTTCGCGGATCGCGTTGGGGAGGGTGGTGGATGTTGGGAGTGGGTGCTTTGACCTGATGCACAACCTGTGATTGGATTTAGTGTCGTAATACTTTATGTTCAATTGGTTTAGATACCTTTTCTGGTCCTAGTACATCACGTGGGGGGTGGATTCTGTTTCGTCCCGATTGTGACATGGTCTGCAAAGAATTTGGCCGATGTCACAGTTTTTTTTTTTCATGGAATGTCCTACAGAACTTGAAAGTACTTGAGTCTCCTGCAAAGAGAATGGCATTGTTTTTTTTAATTTCACGGAGGGTGGGTCCTATTGTAACGAATTTTCTCGGCATTCCTTAGCGCAGCCCGCAACATCGCGTACAGCAACAACCGTTGTTCGCCCGTTACTGCTAACGGGGCTTCGCCAACATCGCGCGCACTGTTTTCACCAAACCTCGCACTGCTGGAGCAGCTGAGTCGGCCTACGCTTCGGGACTAGCCCGAACCTCGCGCCAGCGTAGCACTAGCTAGCTCGCACGCGCCGCGTTACCGTTTGCATGTTTCGGGTATAAATGTTCGCTCATGCCTTCGCTCACATTTAATACTTGTTTGACACCTTAGTGCAATCCTCGCTACCTCGATTCATTGCACCCGTAACACTTGGTATTCAGAGCCTCTTTCTTTCGGACCGCGCATCTTCTCAGAATAGTAATGCAACGGAATGATGAAACTAGAAAGTGTGGAAGTACAAATATGCAACCCTAACAACTGTACTCCCTATTGTGCTACTCACTGTAGCCTACAAGCATAGAATTACATTTGACACACCCCCATAGGCTAAGTGAGGGGCATCAAAGCAAGCAAGGTGAACAAACGGTCACAAGACCAGTCAAAGCAAGAAACAAGGCAAGCTCAGGGTGGATCTCAAGGACACCACATAAATTCCGAGCGCAAGCAAGCGGCCACAAGGCCAGTTCAAGAGTTCACTAGGATATAAATAGGAAACACAACAAGCAGAGCAAACAACAAGACTACAGCAACCGAGGGCCTACCTCAACAAGCCCCAACTACACACAGAATCTGTGGTGATCACCAAGCGCCAAGGCCTTGGTGAAGACGTCTGCAGTGTTGGCCTCTGAGGCCACAAAGTCCAGGCGTGCCTGGCCGCGTCGCTGCAGCTCTCGCAGGAGGAAGTACCTCACGTCAATATGCTTCACTCTGCTCTCCAGTCGAGGCTCTCGACAGAGGAGGATCATGGCCTTGTTGTCAGCGTACAAGGTCGGTGCAGAGCGAGGCCGCTCACCAAGGTCGGCGAGCAAGAAGGTCAACCAACGAAGCTCCTGTGCCGCCATGGCACCCGCGTAGATCTCTGCCTCTGCACTGGAAGTAGCCACAGACGACGACCGTGTAGACCTCCACGACACAGCACCAGCTCCCAGACTGAAGCAGTAACCCTGAGTCGAGCGCTGAGTCTCCACGTCGTCAGCGTAGGAAGAGTCGCAGTGACCAGTCAACGCCACTAACTGAGTCCCTCCAAGCACAAGCCCCATGCCTGATGTAGTCGCTAGGTACTTCGCCACCCTCACAGCAGCTGTCCAGTGGACAGGGCGGTGTCTCCCAGTCGCTACAAAGCGAGAAAGGATGCTGAGGGGAAAGGCGAGGTCCGGTCGAGTACAAGTCATCAGGTACATGAGGCAGCCCACCAGCTCTGCGTACGGTCCACTGGACTCAAAGGGCTCGTCAGGAAAGGGGCCCGTGAGTCTGTGGTCAATAGCAAGAGGAGTGGGCTGTGTGGTGGAGAACTGGAAGTCGAACCGCCGAAGGACCTGCTGCACCATGTGTGACTGCGTCAGTGTGATGGTGCGAGCGGCTCTGTCCCGGGTGATCTGCAGGCCAAGGTAGCGCTGCAGCTCACCCAGGTCAGTGCACTTGTGTCTCTTCTGCAGTTCGGACTTCACCTGAGCCATGGCTGCCCTGTCTGCTGTAGCAAACACCAAGTCGTCGACGTAGACAAGGATAAAGAAAGGAGTAGAACCCGCTCGAACAAACAGCGACGGGTCGGCGGAGGACGGGCTGAACCCAAGGTGACGAAGCGTGGAGCGAAGAGTGTCGTGCCACTCACGGGGCGACTGGCGGAGACCGTAGACTGGTTGCCTCAGGCTCCACTGGGTCCCAGGTGGGAAGGTGTCAGTGAAGCCAGGAGGACGGCGCAGCCAGATCTCCTCGTGCAGTCGGCCCTGGAGAAACGCAGTGGAGAAGTCGAGGGAGTGCAGCTCGTAGTCTCGTTGCGCTGCTATGTGGAGTAACACCCGAAGAGTAGTCACCTTCGGGGTGGGGGCGAAGGTCTGGAAGAAGTCGACTCCCTCACGCTGACTGAAGCCCTAGCCACGTAGCGCGCCTTGAACACCGGCGGTGCTCCAGGCGGCCGCTTCACCTTGAAGAGCTACATGCCATCGACTACGTTCGCCCTGGGAGGGGGAACTGCGTCGACGTAGGTGCCTGTGGATCTCCAAGACGCCAGCTCTGAGTCCATAGCCGCTTTCCACTGAGAGGCCCACGCCCCTGACACTGCCTCGCGGTAAGTGCGAGGAGTCGGTATGTCAAGGGCGTCGGGGTCTCCCTCAGGGGAGAGCAGCATGGCACACACAGAGGGAGAAGCGGCTGCTCAGTACTCCAGCTCAGACTCTCTGTCCTCTAGGACATCACAGCCAAGGGCAAACCCACCCCCGACGGACAGAGGACGGTAGGGAGGAGCTGGCACCACACGGGTGGCGTAGTCAAGGCGGCTGGCGGCAGCAAACTCAGCGACAGCGGCAGTAAGAGCCGAGACAGACGACGGAGGGAGACGAGAGTCGGTGACAAGAGTGGCGAGGACACGTGCGGCAACAGGACGAACAGCGTGGTAGTAGTCAGTGATAGGAGTGGGGAGGGCTGGGAGAGAGGACGGAGGAGGAGACGGGAGAACGGACACAGGAGAAGGAGAACGGCGACGAGACGAACAAAGGAGGGCAGTGTGGAGGTCAGTAACAGGGGACGAGTGACGAGCACGCGGAGGACAACGAGTGATCAAGTCGTGACGGACAGAAGGAGGAGGAGACCGAGGAGGAGGAGAAGACCAGACCGCCGGACGGTCGTCAGGAGGAGGCAACGGAGGGACAAACACAGGAGGAGACTGGGAGCGGACAGGAGGAGAGGAGGAAAGGCCAAGGGCCCGTAGGCCACTCAGAGGAAGCTGCGGTGGCGGCTGCGGCTGCTGCTGCTGCGGCGGCGGCTGCGGCAAATGCTGCTGCGGCTGCGGCGGCGGCTGCGGCTGCGGCTGCTGCTGCTGCTGCTGCTGCAGCTGCTGCTGCTGCTGCTCCAGAAGGTCCAGCACCCGCAGCTCCTGCCGCTCCCTCTCCAACCGCTCCTGCTCCTCACGCTCACGCCGACGGGCAGCCTGGAGACGCGTGTCGTGGCGGTGGGGAGGCGGAGTGGACTCCGCAGAACCAGGGTCTCCAGCGTCAGTCTCCTCAGACTCAGCACCCCCAGAACTAGCACCGCCAGTGCCAGCACCTCCAACTCCAGCACCCCCAGAACTAGCACCTCCAGTGCCAGCACCTCCAGCTCCAGCGCCCCCAGAGCTAGCGCCACCTGCGCCAGCACCTGCAGCTCCAGCACCCCGCGACCAAGCACCCCCAGACCGAGCACCGCCAGCGGCCGCACCTCCAGCTCCAACACCAACCGAGTCCACAGTAACCTGTCGCGGATGTGCCGAAGGCTGCTGAGGGGACTGTGAGGAGGACTGCGGGGAGGGAGACGCTACCTGACGCGCGACCGAGGGTAGAGGGGTAGCGTGGGACACACCAGACGGGGCAAGACCAGGGGGGGGCGGGGGTACCGGAGGAGCAGGAGCAGGAGGAGGAGAGGGTGCTAGGAAAAGGGGGGGAGGGGGTACTGGGAGACCTCGACAGGGGTACCGGGTGTAGTAGGACACAGACTCGTCAAACCGGACGTCACGGGAGTCTAGGAACTGGTGGAGGGGCGGGTGGTAAAAGGACCAGTCGGCAGAGTCCACTGGGAAACCAAGGAAGACACAGGGGACGGTGCGTGCCGAGAGCTTGTCCGCGGAGGTGTCGCGAACAAGCGCAAGGCAGCCCCAGACTCGAAAGGCCGACCCGACACCAGGGGAACCAGTCCAAAGACTGGTCGGTGAAGCCTCGGGCCGCGAGACACGCGGCTGGAGGTTCAGCTGGTGTGCAGCGTAGCGAACCGCGTGGGGCCACAGAAAATGGGGCGCACGGGCATGGATCATGGACGTGCGGGCGATGTCCATGACCAAGCCTATGCGGCGCTCAGCAACCCCATTCTGCTGTGGGGACTCTGGCAGCGTCCAGGACTGGGTGATGCCCTATTCGCCGCAGAATCCGCCGTGAATGCCGGAGCGAAACTCGCCCCCACGGTCGGAGTGGAGACAACTGACTCGACGACCACGAGTGCCCTCAGTGGCTAGAAGCCACCTGATCAGCGTAGCAGTCACCTCGGACTTCTTCGCAAGAGGGAACACGGTGGTGTACCTGGAGAAGTCGTCGACGACCACCAGAAAGTAACGCTCCCTCCCAGACCCCTGCGTCGGGGCAGGGCCCCCGACGTCCAAGTGGAGAGTCTCGAAGGGAGCGGTGGCCGGACAAAGGGAGGAGGAGTGGGGAGTGGCGCGTAAGCGACCGGCGACGCACGGAGAGCAAGGAGGGGCAAGCGAGGGAGGGAGCGACGGGAAGGTGCGTGGGAGACCTGTGACAAGTCCCTGACCGAGCATGCCACGAAGGCGAGGGATCGACGGGTGGCCAAGGCGGTGGTGCCACAGGACGGTGCGGTGGGTGAGAGAGCGACAGGAGCAAGACGCAGCGACTGGACTGGACACAGCGCCCGGACCGGACACGACTACCTGGCTAGACACAGCAACTGGACTGGGGACCTGGGCCGGAGGGGACGCAACGACCTGAGGGGAGGACGCGACCGGGGAGCGCTCGGTGTGGAGAACGTAGAGTCCGGAGCGGGGCTCCCTGGTGAACGTGGCCAGAACAGCACCTGTGGTAGCGTCTGTACAGACTGCAGTCCG